TAAATTGGTATATAAGTTTGAGCTTTGTAGTAAGCATATGAAGAAATCATCCTCTACAATATTCTTGGTTAGCTGACCACTAACTCCCGGGCACTGACTACATTTGTATTTGTATTGTATTTTTCCTTTGCATTATACCTTAGAATTCACACATGTAAAATGTTTCAATATGATAATAATAGATTACTAACTTTATGTTCTCATAAAACAAAAATAGATTGCAGAGAATAATTTATTATGTAGAGATGATTTTATTTTGGAATAATTGTGAAGTAATAAACTTGTTAATGTTACAAAGCTATGAACAGCATATTACTGTATCATATACAATTATTCTAACACAATTCTAAACACATGTGAACATTATAGTATCCTTGTATTAATGTTCCAATCTGAGTGTCAGTTAGTTCACTAAGTAGGCTCCCTGGTCAGAAACATCTTGAATTCTTGAATAAGTAGAAATAAGAATATAACTGTATTTATGTAGAATTGAAAATCTGTATATCTGCAAATATAGAACATTTACCATTGCCCATGAGTTTTCTGCTCTGTAGAAAGACCATAAATGCACATCTTTATGAATTTATATAATCAATAGAACTTTAAGTCCCCATATAAGGTCTAAATCACTTTGGCTTATACTGTAGTCTTACTCAGTGTTATATGGAAGAATGTGAAACTTATTTTAATTGCTAATTATGAATTTATATAAAACTAACTTTTATAACTAACTTTTAGAGATCACATATATATTCTAATAAGCGATAATTCAAACCAATGCATAGCATTCATCCTCACATGATTTAGGTGAAAAATTAAGAAAATTGGTTCAAGAATAGGCGAGAAATGAACTCGTCAATGCTTTAAAATGGTTCAGAGAAAAATGTATTTCAAAATTTCTTCTTTCCTCCCGTATTTTTGACTGAAATCTCCCTTAATCTACCGTGTTTGAGCTAAATCTACAGTCAGTAACCTAGATTATTGGACTTCTTTCTTTTACTTTCAGTTTTACAGCAGGGAAATGTATATTTTCTGTAAAAACTGAGCGAGCAAAGGAACCCTCATAATACTTGTTCAGGGCCAACTTACATCATGGGCTTTTAATAATCAGCCTGATTACTCATTAATTTTTGTCATATTCTTTTGTTTTCCCATTTCATTTGACTAAATGAACTTTCATTTAACTTTTATTCACCATAACCTCGTTCAAAACCAATTTCAGGTTGGCAGGTCTGGCGTTAGTTGCAAAATATTTTTGATATGCTAAACCATTGAAGTGGCGCATCATTAAAAAAGATTCAACTTTTATTTGAAAAATGGCGGGAAATTTGATAACGAGAAATGAAAAAATTCAAAAAATGAATTTAACCCTTACCCCAAAAAAAGAATTTAACCCTAAGACCATGAATATGTGTGTCAAAAATGTAAAATAAATTAAAAAATGAATTCCATAAATAAATAAATTTTTCTATGTCAAAATATAAAAAAAAGAATTTAATACTAACCTTAACCCTAACCCTAACCATCCCCAACCCTATTAAACCAGATGGAGTTTTAAATGATTACCTAACCCTGACCTACCCACTGAGGACACAGGACGCGTACCAGACCCTAATGATACAGGGTCTACTTGGCAGGAGCAGCGATCGCTATCAGTAGGGTCTGGCACATGAACACCGCTCCTGCAAAGAGAAATGAGTTAACCGTAGCCTTAACCCTAACCCTAATTACCAACCCCAACCCTATCAAACCAGATGGAGTTTTAAATGATTACCTAACCCTGACCTACCCACTGAGGACACAGGACGCGTACTAGACCCTAATGATACAGGGTCCAATTGGCAGGAGCGGTAATCGCATACCACCTAATGATACAGAGTCCACTTGGCAGGAGCAGCGTTCGCATACCAGACCCTAATGATACAAGATCCACTTGGCAGGAGCGGCAATTGTGTACCAGACCCTAATCATTGATACAGGGTCCACTTGGCAGGAGCGGCGTTTGCATACCAGACCCTAATGATACAGGATCTACTTAGCAGGAGCAGCGATCCCTAACCAACCCTATTAAACCAGATGGGGTTTTAAATGATTACCTAACCCTGAACTACCCACTGAGGACACAGGACACGTACCAGACCCTAATGATACAGGAACCACTTTGCAGGAGCGGCGATCGTGTCCCAGACCCTAATGATAGAGGGTCCACTTGGCAGGAGCGGCATTCGTGTACCAGACCCTAATGATACAGGGTCCACTTGACAGGAGCGGCGATCGTGTACCAGACCCTAATGATAGAGGGTCCACTTGGCAGGAGCGGCATTCGTGTACCAGACCCTAATGATACAAGGTTCACTTTGCAGGAGCAGCGATCGCTATCAGTAGGGTCTGGGACATGAACACCGCTCCTGCAAAGTGAAATGAGTTTAAACCGTAACCTCAACCCACCCTAACCAACCCTATTAAACCAGATGGGGTTTTAAATGATTACCTAACCCTGACCTACCCACTGAGGACACAGGACACGTACCAGACCCTAATGATACAGGGTCCACTTGGCAGGAGCAGCGTTCGCATACCAGACCCTAATGATACAAGATCCACTTGGCAGGAGCGGCAATTGTGTACCAGACCCTAATGATACAGGGTCCACTTGGCAGGAGCGGCGTTTGCATACCAGACCCTAATGATACAGGATCTACTTAGCAGGAGCAGCTATCCCTAACCAACCCTATTAAACCAGATGGGGTTTTAAATGATTACCTAACCCTGAACTACCCACTGAGGACACAGGACGCGTATCAGACCCTAATGATACAGGGTCCACTTGGCAGGAGCGGCGATCATGTACCAGACCCTAATGATAGAGGGTCCACTTGGCAGGAGCGGCATTCGTGTACCAGACCCTAATGATACAAGGTTCACTTTGCAGGAGCAGCGATCGCTATCAATAGGGTCTGGCACATGAACGCCGCTCCTGCAAAGTGAAATGAGTTTAAACCGTAACCTCAACCCACCCTAACCAACCCTATTAAACCAGATGGGGTTTTAAATGATTACCTAACCCTGACCTACCCACTGAGGACACAGGACACGTACCAGACCCTAATGATACAGGAACCACTTTGCAGGAGCGGCGATCGTGTCCCAGACCCTAATGATAGAGGGTCCACTTGGCAGGAGCGGCATTCGTGTACCAGACCCTAATGATACGAGGTCAACTTGGCAGGAGCTGCGATTGCGTACCAGACCCTAATGATACAGGGTCAACTTGGCAGGAGCGGTGATCACATACCAAACCCTAATGATAAAGTGTCCACTTGGCAGGAGCAGCGTTCACGGTTCACGTACATCTTTTATTGACTCAGATGTCATCACAATGACATATTAGTCAGTACAATGTACAATATACAAAAATAACTTAGACTAAACTAACTACAAAATACAAAATGTAAACAACATGACAAATGCAAAAATATAAGTTATGAGTCAAGTTTTAAATACAGCATAAGAAAATGTAAAATATCAGTGTGATGTATCATTGACACAATGTTCATCCAACACATATACAATGTATGAATTAAAGATCATTGCCAGGATCAATAAATGACTATGTCTGTTGAACTTGGCAACATGCACACATGGCACCACCAACATTCTGGTACATGGTACAGATGCTAATACAAGATGGCAAGTGGAACCATGTTGAGCATTAATAGACATTATTATAACATGGACATCCAACATGCCATGCTACAGCCAATAGCCATATTTATCACATGACAACATGCTGTACTTGGTAAGTTGTGAACTTGGGATCACTTGAATCAAGGTACTTGGCACACATGCAAATATAAGATGGCAAGTATGCCAATGCAACATGTATAAATCAACATGCACATCCAACATGCGAACATGGCAGTACTCACAAATTCTGATACATGTACACATGCTAAAACAAGATGCCATGTCCAACCAAAATAGTACATGTTCCAATCTAGAATAAATCTTGAATTATCACTTGCACATTCAACATGCCATGTTGAGCCAGTTGCTCTGTCTTTCACATGCTAGACCAGTAGCATCTTGTCAGAAAGGTACTTGCTAAAATATTGCCATGTTACAAACAAGTATATGCCAAGGGACTGCATCTTGTAGATATTACCACTTGGCAACATGGCAGAACATGGCATGTTTGGACCCGGTGGCCATAAATGTTGAGATCAGGTCACTATCGTTGGGAGATATTGTATTTGAGATCGTAAGGAATAGATTAGTATGTCAATTGTACACGTTGCTTGTAATTTTGTCACCCTCATAGATCTGACTCTGCCTTCAAAATTACGGGGACTGGAATTTATTTATTTATATATTAACTCAATGTTAAGGGTTCTCCAAGAGGGGGTGGTGGTTTACTTTAAATGGCCACTTTTAAAATTCCCAAATTGTCTTTGTCACATTTAAAAAAATGTCATGATATATAAGATTCATTTCTCAAAGCATTTAAAGCAACGTCTACTATGTCCCATTGTTTGATTACTGGTCAGAATAAGTTAACCTTTACTTTTATTTCCCTACATTGAATTGTCTATTTTTGTCACTTTCAAAACACCTGTCACTGTCAATCGAATCAATGTTCAAAATTGTCACTTGCAAGCATTTATTTGTCACATTCGTTCATTTTAGATACCTTGCAATCGCATTTAGTTACATTTTTAGAGGTTGAGTCACTCCCTGGAGTCACCTTCATTGTCACATACCCCTTTACTCCATTGGGAGCCCAAATGTTCTTTGGCTTAGAGTTATCTAGGATGGAGTTATATATGCATCAATTTTGATAGACCTTGTACCAGTAACAGAACAAAATAGTGAACGAAATAGTAGTTGTACATGTGTTCATGTAGTGGTGACGTCTTAATAACGGTTGTTCCCCGGGGGTTGTTCATTCTGTCCGGTATGTTGCACCTGTACACTTTCACTTTTATATATCAGTTTGCGCATGCGCATTACAGGTGAAGGTTGATTCAATATTTTGGAATTTAAATTCAGTTTTAAATCGGACTTTAGGACTTATTTACACATATTTGTCGTACAATTTGGAATTCACCAAATATGCACACATCCTCGGCACAATTGTGGTAAGTTTCAAACTTTTCTGTTTCTAATTTGAGGCTAAAATTGAGATTGTTTTTCAAAATGAAAATTAAAAAAAATAAAATCAACAACACTCCCTTTTCACTGTTGTTCACCTTCGATAATAGTCTGACAATATCGGGGTCTACCTCTGCCATAATTTTCTCCCACTCCACATTGATCTGATCATCCCATCCACTTTAGATCATAGGTTATATCATGCTAGTTCTTAACCTGTTGATCAAAGCAAGGACGTGATTGATGGTGATCGAAGTAAAACCAGCATTGAATCTAACGTACATGTACCTTTTACAGTAATGTGTCTACAGTAATACACTTGATAAGCACCATCTGAGATCCAAGTAAGTTTCAAGCCCACATGCCCAGGAACGAGATTTAAATCCCCCCAAATAAGTGGGAGGAGGATGAACTCTTGTTCCCGTGCCTTTGATCCATATTGATCTCAAGCCTCACTGAAGCCTTTTGCCTAATAGCCAGTTTTAGCCAAGGCGGCTGTTCACTTTTCAATAATTTTCAGAGGGGTTCACATTTGATAAACTTTGATTAAATCAAACCCCCAACCATTATAAACTTACATTCAGAAAAAGATATAGGTATGATTAATCTAAAATATAAAGAGTAAAAGCAAGAGTAAGAACTAGTGAATACAATATATATCTGACATAGTGCCAGAATACACATGTATCACCTTGGAAGGGGGTAGTCGAGGCCATATGCTTCAAAAAGGCATATGTCTGAATTAAAGCATCGACATACAAAAGGCCATTTGTTAGCGAACATGGGGGTTCAAGAGACTGGTTTCTTGAAATCTTGAAAACCCATTGCCACTTCCACAAAAAATCTTTAGATACTAAATAAGAGTTAGGCACATTGGAATTGTATGTAGATTCCCTTTTATTTACTAAAGAGTCTGGTACCGTGTAAAATTGAGAGTTTGGCTATTGAAATTCTGACTTTATCAAGAGTGTATGGTATTAAAGATCTGTTGCCCAAGAAATGCTTCATTAATTGTGAAAAACTTCAAAATGCCTCTGACCAGTGACTTAGGCTACAGCGATATGAACAACTGCATGGTTTTGTCCATGTAATTCACATCACTATGTAACTCAGCTTAGGTGGATGATCCTAAACTCCTACAGCTTCAGGTTTAAAGGTGAAAGAATGCATAATTCTTAAAATAAATTATAAATGGTTCAGAGATTCATAATAAATACTATCTACAAACAAATGCAAATGTTTCGTTAAATGGTACTTTAAGTTATATATAAACTTAGCGACACAAGGTCACATCAAGTATTTCACCTTTGAACACAGTGTAATAGAAATACATAGTTTATTATTTATTATCACATTCCATAGAAATCCTTATTCAAAGGGTATTTGACTGTATTTTATGGGTACATAGAATTCAATTTAAACTCATTGAAAAAAACTAAAAAGAAATGAACATATGATTTGTTATCAATTGTTTAAGTTGATATCTGAGTTTATAACAATGTTATCAAACTGCTCGAGAATTCTGAAGATTCTCACCTGAGTTGTGATAGACATTGTCAGATTATATGAACAATAAAACCTTTACTCCTACAGTTCTCAGTTGTTCACTGTTCATTATTAACATGGCTAAAATGAATATTCGAGTCTTTGGACCAGCTAAAATTGTTCACATAATTTAGTGTTCACATTAAATGAACAAATAGAGAGTGTAAAATGTTGGAATCAATCTACTTAGAAAAGCATGCAAATATTTCTCATATTATCTGAAGAAATTTTTTAAAAAAGAATTGAAATATCTGCTCAAATATAGAAGATATTGAAGCTTTATACTAAATTTGGCATCTACCTTTTCAACTTTTGCTAGGTTTCGCATTCATTTGAAAATATAAAACATTATGAAAAATTAACTTATTTTGATTGGTCAAATAGTGATTTTATAATGGGAATTTTGCCCCACTTGAGAAAAAAAGATAAGATTTTTCAGTTTACAACTCCAAGGTCCAAATCTTCATATTCAAAATTTATGACAAAAACTATATTGAGAGAAATGTCAGTTTTCTTGAACAATTTTATCTAGCACTGATTTGCCCATCACTGTTGACCATTTGACACCATATCCTTTAGCATTTTAAAACAAGACTAGCTTTGAAAACAGGTAAACCTTTCAACATTTGTTTTTCATTTGAAAAAGCTCTGACATGTCATATAGTGGTAAATTGAAAAAGGATTTGAATTCCTTTATAAGATACACTAAAGTGATAAGCATACAACAAACTCAAGATATTTTAATAAGATGGATGAATATTGTATTGACCCACCATAACTATCACTTTAGGTCCACTCAACTCATATCATGGTTCTCTCTACAAATAAATGTATATCTATCATTGTACAGAAAATCTGTCTAATTCAAACATTGCTGGGACTGACTGAAATCATGAGAGAGTTATTCAAATGCCAATTGTCTTAGTATAATATACAAGTTTTACTGCAGTGATAATTATATGACAAACATTGTATAAATACAGTGATTTTTTCAAATTGTGTTATAATTAGGTTCAAGGGCTATGTTGGTCTGCGGCGTGCGTCTACGCGGTAGCTAGGCGTCGTCGGCAGTCAAAAAGCAATGAATCTTTGTATGTAAATAGAGATCTTTTTCTTTTTTCCAATTCTACATTTACATAATTTGTATACATGTATCTCCTTTATATAAAGGGCAATAAATATATACATACATACATACATACAACAGGATGTACTCTTAATAAGGAGGTTAAGCTACACATTTTTTAAGAGAACTTGTGTGAATGTGTAGAATCCTGGTCCTCTAGGGATGACTTCTCCCCTTCAGAGTATTTAATTGCCCAATTGAGTATGAAGCTATACGGAATAGTTGTAATTAAATTTTTGGAAAAAACAAATGATAGAGGGACAGCTATCCCTGGGGGTCAAATTATTACACATTGACATACAAGTTTGCTAGTTGCTTAAATATAACATGTAGCTTATCCTCCATAATATGGTGAAAGTTGGCTGGCTTCATGTCAATATTGTCTTCCTATCTTACATGTAACTGATCAGATTATTTAAACTTGAATTGTGAATTTTATGAAAGGATTAGTGTTTTACTGCCAAAATATTTTGGTTTAAATGTTTTTTCCTTCTAACCCAAGCAAACAGCTATAAAGTTATGAGATTTGTTTTTTGGATGATATAGCTATTATATTTGTATAATAATAAATATATTCTTTTTAATTTTATTTCCTTAATAATGAATTTTCTCATACCCCCTCCCTTCAATAAACATTATAAGGTTGTATTACCTCCCATGGTATGATTCATAACTGATCCATATTATTTACAGTGTTTTGCCAAAGTTTAATATTTATGTTTTTTATGGCAAGAGCATGGGATCATGAGAACATTGAAAAACTAAAATGGATGAGGTTTGGGAACTGAAAATGTATGACAGTCCATTCAATGTTCATACCACAGTCATGTTTTTATGTTTTCACTCTGCAAAAAATAATATTTCATCTTGATATAAAGAAAAAGAAATGTATGAATTTAATGCTATTTAAATCATTCATGAGTAATGGTTTAAAATATGTGTTTTTATTCATTTTGTCTGATAAAAAACACATGTTATCTATTTTTTGTCTATAATCACATGGGAAGACACCAGAAAAATTATTATTAATCTTTATTGCGATATTGACTGCAGTGAACAAGCTTATTGTTTGGTTAAAACATACAGTTAAACCTGTACCAGGTACTAATAATATCTGAATACCTCTGTAATCTGTTGATCTCTCAATGTGAACACATTCTCTTGATTCCAATTTCACCATCTCCCATTGACTCGCATGTTAAAAACCTTGAAATGTGAACACCTGCTAATCTGAACACTTTTGCTTGGTTCAAGTTGGATTCAGATGAGACAAGTTTTACTGCAATGAATATTTAATCATAATATCTTAAACAGTTTGGTCATGTTTAAAAATACATATTTTATCAAATTGTTTATGACATTTTGTTTGCATTAACATGTTCAGAGTAGAACTACACTGAAAGGTAGTAATTTTGTATTCTATGATAGTTCTCAAACATATAAATCTTAATAGGTAAATTGTAAAATAATGTAAATGTTTGATTGCAGTGTCTGGACTACTGTCAAAATGGATATAACTGAAATGGGAATACATGTAAGTCATAACTGACTGACTGAAGAAATATAACTACAGACACTACATAAAGTAGATACACAGACCCACAAAGATGGAGTTTTACAAACTCCTGCAGTCAAAAGAGAGTGTGTTTGATGCTACAATCGCCAAGATGACCTCACAGGTAATACAATATACTCTTTGCAAGAGGTAAACTTCATCTCTACTCTTAAAGTTAGAGATAAAATGACAGGTTATTTACTAGTGTTAATGACCATACAGGGTTCTCACCAGGAAATTTTTAGACACCCCATATGACATCAGAGATATCCTACTAGTATACATTCAAAATATATGTACTACTTCAGATTATCTTCCTTTTTTAATCACAATATGCATTGTAAAAGGTTTCTGACTTCCTATTCCTTGTTTGTATCCAGTTTTATGTATTTTTTCAAAAGTTTAACCACAAATAATGTGACAAAAATGTAAAATTAGACTCCGGAAAAAACACTTTAGACTCTGGAAAAGCTATTAGACTCTAAGGTAAGAGGGTCTAAAGACATTAGACTCCAGTCTAATCAGTCTAAAAGCCTAGTGAGAACCCTGCCATATATGGTATTGCAAGTGGTTTTGAGTCATCTTTTACCATCCATATATTCTGACCATAAATGCAACATTTTTAAATTAAACAAATAATTGTGCAAAATTCTTGATATTTCCTGTTAAAATATCATACACCAGCTAATCGATCTATAGATAATCGTTTATAATTAACCTGATTTCCTAAGGACAGGTTGACCTTTTACATAACATATATAAAGTGAACATATGTGAAAATGAATCAGATTGTGTAATGTCTGAGAGCACCCATTCATCACATCCTCCCAGCCCCACCAGGTATAAACATTCCAACAGTAAAACCTGTATATCTGAACACCTCTCTTATCTGAACACCTCTCTTATCTGAACACCTCTCTTATCTGAACACCTCTCTTATCTGAACACCTCTCTTATCTGAACACATCTCTTATCTGAACACATCTCTTATCCAGACATCTCTCACTGTCTAGAGGGAGCACTTTTTCTCAGTCCTAATTTTGTTATCTCCCATTGACACCCTTATTAAGAAACCTTGAAATGTGAACACTTGCTATTCCAAACACTTTTGGCCAGTAGGTGGAGTTTGAATCAAACAGGAGTTACTCTATAATTATGTATATATAGCGCTACATTCCGAGATGAAGTCTCATCATGAAGATGTAACACAAATGATTAATACTAAATCTACAGACTATTGAGTCTCTTAACACATCATTATATATCTGAATATACTGAGGACTATCATCATAAACAATCCCTACAGAGATAACTGAGGCTGAAGGACAAGATGGTAAATGACTATAATTATAGTTAAGAAAATTTTTTCTTTAGTGCAATGTTTTGCTTTAATGCATACCACATTGTTCAAAGTGACATGTTTAGATTGAGAATTTAGCATTTTTTTTACTAAAGTGAGGCCATAGATCAAGGGTCAAGGTTGTCTCTACTAAAGGTCAAATTGAAACATCCGAGACGGTCGGTTTATAGCTCAGTGAATGAAGATTCAGTCCCATAGATATCCATCTAAATGACTTCAATTTTTATTCCAGAAACTGATAGAGGTCATATCTGGTCTACAGCAGGAGATGGCTGATGAGCAGAAACATTTCAACAATCTCTCCAATGATCTTGCCGCAGTAGACTCAAACTCCAGCCGTCATGCTGAGATTTCTACAGAATTGATGGCCTCACAGGGTCGTCTTGCTATGCTGATGGGGCGTAATATGAAGTGTTTTACACAGGTAGGTGAAGGTAGTTAGAGCTGCCCATTGTAGGTTATTGAAGATAATAACAGCCTTGAGTCAAATCTGGAGCGAAGACGTGTCCAGGGCTTGCATTAACGGCGTCCCTTACATGTAAGTGACGCAAAAATAAATTGTAGGACGGAAAAATAAAAAATATTTCCGTTTTTGGGACGGAAAAAAAATTGAGTCAAAACTTTGAACATTTTTTGAAAATCTTGAAAATCTCAATAGTTGATCATGTTTGACTTCTTTGAGGTGTATATTAAGATCAAAATATGTGAGATTTACAACTTTATTTTGAGTAAAAAAGAAAAAGAATGCAGAAAAACGAACTATTGTAATGGGCGATAATAGGTTATAAGTTTGCATGTGACATATTTTTCTCACTGAAAAGCTGATATAAAACCTTCAAAATGAGTTCAATTGTACAAATGATGCATACTTACCTAGGTGAAGTAGTCTATTTGTGATTATATAACGTCAAAATGGTCTAATTTATGATATAAATCAGAGGATTCTGATTCTGAAAATGTAGTGATACACTAAATTACTGAGCGTCAGACAAATTCATACTAAAAATGTGCTTATTTTTTCAAGCAGTTGTTCAGTGCAAACAGCAAGTATAAAGATAATCACAGTATAATAGTTCTTACTATAACAGGCTGGAGGTTACATAACATAAGTGAATTGAATATAAAGAACATGTTTAAATCACAGGGCACGAATGGCAACATTTTGAAAACACATAAGACATGTAAGATCAAGTCATGCACATTCCAAAATAGCCCATTATAGCTAATTTAGCTTATATATTGGAGGACACACTTTTTTCGGTCGGGACTCACTTTTTAAAAAATTTTCCTTCATTGGGACTCACATTTTTCAGAGCCTAATGCAAGCGCTGCATGTCATTTCAAATCCCCTGGAACATGTAAGTGTAGACCAATGACTTGATTAGGGCCATTTATACGATACACTATCATTTATGGCCACCGGGTCCAAACATGCCATGTTCTGCCATGTTGCCAAGTGGTAATATCTACAAGATGCAGTCACTTGGCATATACTTGTTTGTAACATGGCAATATTTTAGCAAGTACCTTTCTGACAAGATGCTACTGGTCTAGCATGTGAAAGACAGAGCAACTGGCTCAACATGGCATGTTGAATGTGCAAGTGATATAATTCAAGATTTATTCTAGATTGGAACATGTACTATTTTGGTTGGACATGGCATCTTGTTTTAGCATGTGTACATGTATCAGAATTTGTGAGTACTGCCATGTTCGCATGTTGGATGTGCATGTTGATTTATACATGTTGCATTGGCATACTTGCCATCTTATATTTGCATGTGTGCCAAGTACCTTGATTCAAGTGATCCCAAGTTCACAACTTACCAAGTACAGCATGTTGTCATGTGATAAATATGGCTATTGGCTGTAGCATGGCATGTTGGATGTCCATGTTATAATAATGTCTATTAATGCTCAACATGGTTCCACTTGCCATCTTGTATTAGCATCTGTACCATGTACCAGAAATGTTGGTGGTGCCATGTGTGCATGTTGCCAAGTTCAACAGACATAGTCATTTATTGATCCTGGCAATGATCTTTAATTCATACATTGTATATGTGTTGGATGAACATTGTGTCAATGATACATCACACTGATATTTTACATTTTCTTATGCTGTATTTAAAACTTGACTCATAACTTATATTTTTGCATTTGTCATGTTGTTTACATTTTGTATTTTGTAGTTAGTTTAGTCTAAGTTATTTTTGTATATTGTACATTGTACTGACTAATATGTCATTGTGATGACATCTGAGTCAATAAAAGATGTACGTGAACCGTGAACGCTGCTCCTGCCAAGTGGACACTTTATCATTAGGGTTTGTACGAAATATTTCGAATGGAATGTGTGACATATACGTAATTCGCGTGAAAAGTCCGAACGAAATTTTTCTACAGAAATATTTTTGCTTGACAATTACCAGGTAAAATGCGTATTTGCGTGACATTTTCTGTCACGCAAAAATAACTGGCGTGACTTCAAATTCTTCAGCAAATGCGTGACAAATACGCAAATTGCGGGACAGTTGACAGGCCTGGGTCTGGTACGCAATCGCCGCTCCTGCCAAGTTGACCTCGTATCATTAGGGTCTGGTACACGAATGCCGCTCCTGCCAAGTGGACCCTCTATCATTAGGGTCTGGGACACGATCGCCGCTCCTGCAAAGTGGTTCCTGTATCATTAGGGTCTGGTACGTGTCCTGTGTCCTCAGTGGGTAGGTCAGGGTTAGGGTATCATTTAAAACCCCATCTGGTTTAATAGGGTTGGTTAGGGTGGGTTGAGGTTACGGTTTAAACTCATTTCACTTTGCAGGAGCAGCGTTCATGTGCCAGACCCTATTGATAGCGATCGCTGCTCCTGCAAAGTGAACCTTGTATCATTAGGGTCTGGTACACGAATGCCGCTCCTGCCAAGTGGACCCTCTATCATTAGGGTCTGGTACATGATCGCCGCTCCTGCCAAGTGGACCCTGTATCATTAGGGTCTGATACGCGTCCTGTGTCCTCAGTGGGTAGTTCAGGGTTAGGTAATCATTTAAAACCCCATCTGGTTTAATAGGGTTGGTTAGGGATAGCTGCTCCTGCTAAGTAGATCCTGTATCATTAGGGTCTGGTATGCAAACGCCGCTCCTGCCAAGTGGACCCTGTATCATTAGGGTCTGGTACACAATTGCCGCTCCTGCCAAGTGGATCTTGTATCATTAGGGTCTGGTATGCGAACGCTGCTCCTGCCAAGTGGACCCTGTATCATTAGGGTCTGGTACGTGTCCTGTGTCCTCAGTGGGTAGGTCAGGGTTAGGTAATCATTTAAAACCCCATCTGGTTTAATAGGGTTGGTTAGGGTGGGTTGAGGTTACGGTTTAAACTCATTTCACTTTGCAGGAGCGGTGTTCATGTGCCAGACCCTACTGATAGCGATCGCTGCTCCTGCAAAGTGAACCTTGTATCATTAGGGTCTGGTACACGAATGCCGCTCCTGCCAAGTGGACCCTCTATCATTAGGGTCTGGTACACGATCGCCGCTCCTGCCAAGTGGACCCTGTATCATTAGGGTCTGGTACACGAATGCCGCTCCTGCCAAGTGGACCCTCTATCATTAGGGTCTGGGACACGATCGCCGCTCCTGCAAAGTGGTTCCTGTATCATTAGGGTCTGGTACGTGTCCTGTGTCCTCAGTGGGTAGTTCAGGGTTAGGTAATCATTTAAAACCCCATCTGGTTTAATAGGGTTGGTTAGGGATCGCTGCTCCTGCTAAGTAGATCCTGTATCATTAGGGTCTGGTATGCAAACGCCGCTCCTGCCAAGTGGACCCTGTATCATTAGGGCCTGGTACACAATTGCCGCTCCTGCCAAGTGGATCTTGTATCATTAGGGTCTGGTATGCGAACGCTGCTCCTGCCAAGTCGACTCTGTATCATTAGGGTCTGGTATGCGATTACCGCACCTGCCAATTGGACCCTGTATCATTAGGGTCTAGTACGCGTCATGTGTCCTCAGTGGGTAGGTCAGGGTTAGGTAATCATTTAAAACTCCATCTGGTTTGATAGGGTTGGGGTTGGTAATTAGGGTTAGGGTTAAGGCTACGGTTAACTCATTTCTCTTTGCAGGAGCGGTGTTCATGTGCCAGACCCTACTGATAGCGATCGCTGCTCCTGCCAAGTAGACCCTGTATCATTAGGGTCTGGTACGCGTCCTGTGTCCTCAGTGGGTAGGTCAGGGTTAGGTAATCATTTAAAACTCCATCTGGTTTAATAGGGTTGGGGATGGTTAGGGTTAGGGTTAAGGTTAGAATTAAATTCTTTTTTTTATATTTTGACATAGAAAAATTTATTTATTTATGGAATTCATTTTTTAATTTATTTTACATTTTTGACACACATATTCATGGTCTTAGGGTTAAATTCATTTTTTGGGGTAAGGGTTAAATTCATTTTTTGAATTTTTTCATTTCTCGTTATCAAATTTCCCGCCATTTTTCAAATAAAAGTTGAATTTTTTTTAATGATGCGCCACTTCAATGGTTTAGCATATCAAAAATATTTTGCAACTAACGTCAGACCTGCCAACCTGAAATTGGTTTTGAACGAGGTCATGGTGAATAAAAGTTAAATGAAAGTTCATTTAGTCAAATGAAATGGGAAAACAAAAGAATATGACAAAAATTAATGAGTAATCAGGCTGATTATTAAAAGCCCATGATGTAAGTTGGCCCTGAACAAGTATTATGAGGGTTCCTTTGCTCGCTCAGTTTTTACAGAAAATATACATTTCCCTGCTGTAAAACTGAAAGTAAAAGAAAGAAGTCCAATAATCAAGGTTACTGACTGTAGATTTAGCTCAAACACGGTAGATTAAGGGAGATTTCAGTCAAAAATACGGGAGGAAAGAAGAAATTTTGAAATACATTTTTCTCTGAACCATTTTAAAGCATTGACGAGTTCATTTCTCGCCTATTCTTGAACCAATTTTCTTAATTTTTCACCAAAATCATGTGAGGATGAATGCTATGCATTGGTTTGAATTATCGCTTATTAGAATATATATGTGATCTCTAAAAGTTAGTTATAAAAGTTAGTTTTATATAAATTCATAATTAGCAATTAAAATAAGTTTCACATTCTTCCATATAACACTGAGTAAGACTACAGTATAAGCCAAAGTGATTTAGACCTTATATGGGGACTTAAAGTGCTGTTGATTATATAAATTCATAAAGATCTTTCTACAGAGCAGAAAACTCATGGGCAATGGTAAATGTTCTATATTTGCAGATATACAGATTTTCAATTCTACATAAATACAGTTATATTCTTATTTCTACTTATTCAAGAATTCAAGATGTTTCTGACCAGGGAGCCTACTTAGTGAACTAACTGACACTCAGATTGGAACATTAATACAAGGATACTATAATGTTCACATGTGTTTAGAATTGTGTTAGAATAATTGTATATGATACAGTAATATGCTGTTCATAGCTTTGTAACATTAACAAGTTTATTACTTCACAATTATTCCATAATAAAATCATCTCTACATAATAAATTATTCTCTGCAATCTATTTTTGTTTTATGAGAACATAAAGTTAGTAATCTATTATTATCATATTGAAACATTTTACATGTGTGAATTCTAAGGTATAATGCAAAGGAAAAGTCAAATACCTCATGGAATTCTTTAAAAACAGCCCTCCCCCCTGCTTCCCTCCCTGGTAAAAGCTGACTACTGGCCTGAGAGTGGCAGAATACAAATGTAACCGTTCATTAAACAAACTTTTTAGTTTAAAAATATATTTTATCATTTAATTTCCCATTCCAAATAAACAAACGTGTCATTTTGGAACTTGATCCACATGCTGCACATGAGAGATGTATAGTTGAAACTTGGCAAGATGCTATTCGAACATGCAACATGGCAGCATGCCACTTGGCAACTTGGTCCACATGCTGCACATGTGAGTCGTATGGTTTAAACGTGGCAAGATGCTATCTGTACATGCAACATGGTACCATGTCACTTGGCAACTTGGTCCACATGCTGCACATGCGAGCTGTATAGTTTAAACTTGGCAAGATGCTATTTGTACATGCAACATGGTACCATGTCACTTGGCAACTTGGTCCACATGCTGCACATGCGAGTTGTATAGTTTAAACTTGGCAAGATGCTATTTCAACATGCAACATGGTAGCATGTCACTTGCTAACTTGGTCCACATGCTGCACATGCGAGACGAGATGTATAGTTTAAACTTGGCAAGATGCTATCTGTACATGCAACATGGTACCATGTCACTTGGCAACTTGGTCCACATGCTGCACATGCGAGTTGTATAGTTTAAACTTGGCAATATGCTATTTCAACATGCAACATGGTAGCATGTCACTTGCTAACTTGGTCCACATGCTGCACATGCGAGATGTACAGTTTAAACTTGGCAAGATGCTATTTAAACATGCAACAGGGCAGCATGTCACTTGCTAACTTGGTCCACATGCAGCACATGCGAGATGTATAGTTTAAACTTGGCAAGATGCTATTTGAACATGCAACATGGTAGCATGTCACTTGCTAACTTGGTCCACATGCTGCACATGCGAGATGTATAGTTTAAACTTGGCAAGATGCTATTTGAACATGCAACATGGCAGCATGTCACTTGCTAACTTGGTCCACATGCAGCACATGCGAGATATATAGTTTAAACTTGGCAAGATGCTATTTGAACATGCAACATGGTACCATGTCACTTGCTAACTTGGTCCACATGCTGCACATGCAAGATGTATAGTTTAAACTTGGCAAGATGCTATTTGAACATGTAACATGGCAGCATGTCACTTGCTAACTTGGTCCACATGCTGCACATGCGAGATGTATAGTTTAAACTTGACAAGATGCTATTTGAACATGCAACATGGTACCATGTCACTTGCTAACTTGGTCCACATGCTGCACATGCGAGGTTTATCATTAAGACTTCGAAAATTTTGAATATGGGACTTGGCAGCATGTGACTTGTAACTTGGTCCACATGCTGGGCAACATGTATACTTCGTACTTGCCAAGATGCTAATTGTACTTGGTGCACATGGCATGTAGTACCCCGGTGGCCTTAGCTGTACACTATGGGGCGGATTTGAAAACTAACAAAAGGGTACCCACATTTCAGGTCATAAAGAAACAATTTTTGGGCCCCTTAAACCCAAAATTCTGCATAATTTGGCCTAAAATTAAAAAGCAAGGCCTTTAAAGGCCCGCCCCCCAAGATCTGCTAGAGTGGTACTACATGTAAATAAATGATCTTGTGTGTGAATTTCACAATCAAGCTTCTACGTAGGGCTGGCACGGAATCGGAACGGAATTCGGAACTTGGCTTCGGAATTCGGAACTTTCGGAATTTCGGACCTTATTTAAAATAGTTCCTACTTCTCCCCTTAAGTTCTCATTTTTGTTACCATTGGAACAGCCAGCAGTGTACAACTATATATATTTAAGTTTATTGAATACAAACACTAACACTATCTAACTGCCAGAACAAGTGGCATAAATGTTCAAAACTAATGGCAAAATGTTAATGCCCTTGCATTCTTGGAACCTTGGCATACAACTGTTACTTTATATTGTATATTGTCTTTCTCACAATAATTGTCTTTTCTTATGGGTACTGAATATATATAAAACAATCATACTTTATTTATTTCTATCATTCATTACATATAAAACAACTTTACCAAGTGAAAATGTTTAATAATTATATATATTTATTGATTTCGTTTCATAGTACTAGTTTGCTATAGCGAGTTAGTGTGTCACTATAACGATAAGAGAATGTTCTTAACGGAAAATAAAAATTCCGAAAATTATCGGAATATGAGAAGGTAGGTCCGAAAGTCCGTTTCCGAAGGCAAAATCGGACAGTTCGGACAATAATTCCGTTCCGTGCCAGCCCTACTTCTACGGTTTGGGGAGTTACAGTAAAACCTGTCTAAGTGGGACATATTTGGTACCTCTAAAAAGTGTTCTACTTGTGAGGTACTTGTAGAGGTTCATTTAATATTCAATCAGCTGTCTTTAAGACTTGAAAAGTGTTCCACTAATAGAGGTGTTCCACTTCTAAAGGTGTTCCACTTTACAGATTTCACTGTACATTACATAAGAGTCATCCAATAAAAACTGCTCAAATAGAATGCTCCTAAATACAATAAAATTCTTGTTTGGCTGATTGTTGTTTAATTTGAATGAATAGATGGCGGTTTCATACATACTTTCATTATAAAAAGCAGTTTATAAAAACTGAATAAAAACAAAATTGTACTTAAGCTCATTTGAGTGTTTTTCTGAAGTAGGTTGAAGTAAGTCTATGTACATTCAATGACAAGTGTATATTGTATGTGTAATGTAGGTGGACACCTCCCTCTTCAAATTATATATGACAACTAATGAACCTTTTTAATAGAATTAACATAGCCAGGTTAAGCTGAACATTTTAAAGAGAATTTGTATGTGAATATGTGGTATGACCCCCAAGGATAACTTTTCCCCTCTCAATATACTGAGAGGACCATAATTCTATACATTCATGTAAAGTTCTCTTAAAATGTCTTGCTCGACCTCTCTTGTAAGCTTTTTTTTTACCTGAGTTAAGCTAAATTCGCATGATAAGAATTTTATGTCATTTTCATGATGACAATTTAATCCCTAGTCATATTATGGGTTATATCATATAAAATTTCCTGTGAATTTAATCATGCATATAGTTCAAAATCAAAATATTTTGTTGAAATTATGTTAAAATGACATATATCTTTCTGAAAGCGAAAGGGTGACTATCTTTACAATATTATTTACTTTTATCATTGCATTTTGAAAAATGTTCCTAAAAGACACTCATCACTCCTTCTAATTCATTTAAATGTAATTTTGCTACATGTAGAAAACTTCTTTGATGTTTACGTGATCAATTGGTATCATAAGATAGCAGCGAATCTAATAGTACAAGACTGTAATAACACTTGAATGTAGTTTAGATAGAACAGTAAAGCATACGCCTCAGCTCTTTAGCATTGATTGATTGTTTGTAAGATTTGCTCTTTATGTCTGATTAGGCACAATCAATATACCTGTGCTTACCTGTAATCCTAATAGAATACCTTTATGAAAATGTTAGCATTCTTGGCATGTAACATGAATTGAGGTAGAGAAATTTTGACATAATTTAAGCTACAGAGAATAGCTCATTGATAAAGGAAAGTTTCAAATTGAGATATCTGGAATTGTTATTGAATTATGACTCCAGAGATCGATGTTTTTTGATGGATTTTCTTAGAATCGTAGCTACAGGTAAGGATATACCTGTTCTTAGATTTACCACCACTGAATTAGGGTTTGGCTTTAAAGAATGAATATATGGATCAGTAACTCTTTCATATTCAATGGGATTAGCATGTTTGAAAAGATAATTCATACCATTGATCAGGGAATATGCGATCTCTAAACGAACAAATTATTGATATAGAATTGCGTGTTAGTGTTCTCATTTCAATTTAGCTGATTATATTGATTCTATACAATGTTAATTGCTTTTCATCCTAACGTTCAAGTTGTATTAACTACAAGCTTATGGAGAATTGCTGATTACTGATAGAGCAAGTCTCAAAACATGCTACAAGATCTCAACTGACGATACCAAATAATGTGGATTACAGTAGGAGGTTAATTAGATCACTAAGGTGGTATGTCTTGGTTGTTCTTTCTTTGAAGTTTTATCTAATCAGAATACACGGTTTTAAACTGATATATTTTCTTTATATTTCCAGCAAACATCTATACAGAACCAGGAACTGCTGTCAAGCTTATCCACCCCCAAGGAGGAGCCGTCGCCCCACCCCCACATCTCTCACACTACCCCCAAGAGCTTCCATTTTGATGAGGACATACCTGATAGCATTAAGAAACAACGGGATTCAGGCATGGCTAATGTATCTGAAATGAAAACTATTCCAAAGTTAGAGCCTGCAAAGGAGCCCAAATCAGACTTGCCAGAAAGGGAAATAGTGCCTAAAAGCATTTTAAAAAGTAGTGCAGTACCCAAAAAAGGAATACTTAAGACATCTGGTGCTATAAACAATAGTGATGTCTCAAAAACTGATACAAATCATGATGTGCAAGCAATAAATAATGATGATACTTCACAAGGAATAGGGGATAAAACCAATAAAACATTAGTTCCATCTGATGTGGATACAGCACCACCACATGTTAAAAATACTTCTGTGACATCACAACATAAAGACAATGAAACAGCCAAGCCTGAGCCAGCTCCAGTGGTATATCACAGCCTTAGAGACAGATATAAGAATCGTGCAAGTAATGTACCCCAGTATGAGCCACCAGCTGACATCTTGCCAACCAGTCATGCCCCTGCAATACAACATGCAGCCCCCACTGTTGCAAATGCTCCTAAGGCTGCTTTGGATAATAAAATGGATATCATAAGTACAAACAATAAAGACCATACTGCTACAAATCATGTGCCTAAAAATATTACTAGCAATATAGATACAAGTAATAAGGACTCCAAGCACAATAGTGTTGAGACTAAACCAGTCACTAGCAATATTCAACCTAAAAGTATACTGAAATCTTCAGGTGAAAAACAAAATATTCTAAACAACAAGAAGAATGACATTCCCACAACAAACATTGATGACATTCCTGAAAAATCTACAACCATTCCAGAAAAGTCCAGAAACATTCCTAAAAAATCTAGAAACATTCCTGAAAAATCATCAAGCATTTCAGACAAAGTGAGTACCATTCCTGAAAACAGTGCAAACATTCCAACAAATGATAACAGTATAATCCCTAAAGGCCAGTCCCTGAAAACAAAAGAGGCTAACAAACTAAACAATGGCAACAACGTAGAACACATTAAAGCTCATAATAGTGCTGTTAGTAGTAATGCTAAAGTGGCTGTTGGTGCCAAGAAACCCAATGGGATTCTTAAACAAGCTCCTGAGAAGAGGCCAGATGCAAATGGCAGTGGACATAACTCTACAATAGATGCAGCTAGGTTGAAGCAACTGGTTCAAGAAAAAGGTAGGCATACTTTAAAATAGTCCAGATATTGTTTTTCTTATGCTACAACCCCCAGTAAAGCCGATGATGAAGGGACTTCCAAACTCACGGGAAGTTACAGAGGAATGTAATGGATTCTGGTTTTACTTCATTATGCGGCAACAAGTAGTGTTGACATATTGTTATGGTATAGTCTCCAACTTTTTTTTGTGGATGAAGGTTTCTCGAAGTTGAGGATTTTATTATTCTGACTTTTTTCCATTTGACTGACAGATTGGATGCTAACATGATTGAATTATACTTCTTAATTCTAATTTCACTGTACAAAACAACATTATGTTTTATCTTCTATTGATTAAACACAGCTGTCTATGCATTGATGTTTCGTTGCAATTATAGGTTAATAAGTTAATCTCATCAATGGGATAATAGATGTAAAACTAGGGAGGTTGAGCTACAAGTTTTAACAGAAGTCGCCCCATTCATTATATTTACTTGCCCAAGGAAGAAATTTGTAATCAGGTCTCTGGAAAAAGCTTTTGGGAGGGGGTCATCTGATAAAACATGATCATGTAAAAATTCTTTTAAAAATGTGTAACTTAACCTCCGATTTAATCTATTTTAAGGGTTAGTAAAACCTGTGTAGTGAACATCTTGCAAGAGTGAACACCTTGAAATGTGAATACTTTTCCATAAAGTCTCATTAATGTTATGATCATGTGATCATGTGAGCACCTTATATGAACACCTTCCTAAGCAAAAACACTGTTCCAGTTTAATTATAAGTGGTATTTAATCTGAGTGGTTAATTTGCTGATGGTCAAATTTTATCATTTTCATAATTTTACAAGAAATGACAAAAGACTTCCCATTGGATAACATTATGAAGATTATATTTCCAACATTTAATTTTCCGAACCTGGCAATAATTAGGCAATTAAGGCAAATTAAATGATTGGGCAAAATTATCATTATTTTACAGGTTTCATTACAAATATCATCATCCGATGATTTCCTAAATAGGGTCGATGATGCAGAGCGTTAGAATTTCTTCAAGTTACATTGCAGCGTTTGTTTACATTCCAGAAATGAATTGATGAATAAAAGTGATTAATTGGTGGCCTGTTCTAATCTGCGATAATGTTGTGTCTAATTCTGCCGCAGATAAGATATTTATTTTAAGGTTACCAAGAGTTTGAAAACATTGAAACTGATGCTGTAACATTTCCATGTGGAAATGACGGAATGTACATCCGGATTGTTACGTATAAGAGAACAAAAAAAAGCATAAAGTAACACTTAATTGTAGTCGTTACATAGTGTAGTCGTTATATTAGTATGATTTAAAAACAGATGTCGGATATATCATGGTTGATACAAACTAAAGTGGAACTTAAGGCAAATTGTAGAAAACCATCTCGCAAATAGGAATGTGTCATTGCAGGATGGATGAGGTTCAGTTTTAAGATGATTTAATTACTTAGGAAAATATGTGGAACATCAAAATATCAGTTTTTAATTCTTGATATTCTAAAAACATTACAGCTAAACGGTGGTACAATCCAGAAAAGGCACAGTTTTCAAAAATATATTTTTACTTCAATTAAAATGTTCAGAATTTGGAAGTGATATGAGGAATAAATATGGCATTTTTATAGCATGTTGATATATGCAAGGACATTGTCACAATGTGTTTAGAAATGTGCTAAAACATGATTTGGATTGAAGAAGAAAGTCAGTTTATCTTTAACAAATATCAAACTGTACATGTGACATACGGAGGATTCTAATTAAGGATCATTAATGTACTTTGATATCTTCTTTACTAAAAAGTATCACCATATTAGAAATTGATATACCTTCTATTTCGGTTAGTTTTTTCTCATAAACATATTATTTATCGATATTGTTAAGCATCCAAAATACTACTAAACAGCAATGCATTGTGTGATCAGTAGTCAAAATTGTTGACTGCTGTTTGACAAATCAGAATTGAGGTAAAAAACTAATTAACTAACTAATAAAAAACAGAATTGAGGTAAAAAACATGCTAAGGTATTAGCATGTTTTAAAGGAATCTTGTATCTTATGAATTGAGGTCCAGAGTGATTCATGTCATGCCATTACATTCCTATGTCATGTAGCACTAGAATTAATCAAATTACTCCTGAAACATTGAACAAAAAACATTGATTCAATATTATGTTTAGTACTTTTCTCTAACCTGCTCTAGATGGATTCAATATAAGTTGAATTTCTTAATAGTTGCTCAAAATTTCTGATATCTATGGATATACTGTAGTAGAACTGAGTTAGCCGAGACAGGATAGCTGAGACAATATGTTTTAAATGCAGGGAATTAGAAAGGACAGAGACAATATGCCAACTTGAATTACCATATGTGAAACTTGCATCAAAATATGCAAACTTGTATCAGCATATATGAAACTTGCATCAATGCATGTAAAACGTGCATTAAATTTGTAAAACTTCATCAGTACGTAGATGTGAAATTTTCATCAAAATATGCAAAACTACAATCAGCATTTATGAATGTTGCATCAACATACATGAAACTTGCATCAAATATGTAAAATCTTATCAGTATATGAGAAACCTGCATGAGAAGGCCTTCTACAACTAGGCATGATGTTATTTCCATATTTTATATATGACCAAGGTTGCCAGGGTTTCATTGCCATAGGGAGAGGCACTGCTAGGAATAATATATTTGCTCTGCTAGGTGTAAATCATCAAGGACCCTGATATCAGGAACTGCCACATCAAATATCAATGATCAATTTGTTTATGTTAGATTATTTTTTAAAGGGATATTCAAATATATAGATCTTTATAGGTCAACTGGACAATGTCAGGGTTGTGGCAAATGATGATTATTTGTGAGAAATTGTAACAAAATGTTTTTTCCATGAGGCACATTTCAATGGGTTATTATGAATTGGTGGGGGTGCGATGACTTTTCAATTTTATAGATTAAAAAATTAGTAGCACAGATTTCACTTCAGATATAAGTTACGGTATCTTTAAAAGGTTTATGATGTCATATTGCATGGACATGGATTCCATTTTATAATTCACAAAATTAAACTAGTGACAGCTGATCTATGTATCAGATATGATGTGATGGACCCTGATTGGCTTATGTTCTATTGCCCGACAGGCTTTTCTGACCTTTAGATGTAAAATTGTAACATATTTATATTTATCATGTGGGAATAAAGCAAAAATCAAAAAGGAAGTTAACATTGATGCAAAAAGCTAAGAAGATGATGTGTATGGAAAGGAATTTGAGTTATTTTGGAAGATTAATATTTTCTGATTTGAATTCAGGGAATTTTGATTTAAATTTTTACTTGGACAAATAGAAATTGAAATAACTTTTTACTTGGACTAAATATAATTGTGACACCTTTGTATGTTGCCTTGGGAACACAGATTAAAAGTCATAAATTTAGCTTAAACGATAATATAACAGAAAAGAACGGTTTGAGTTATGCGATGCTGGAGAATAAAACATCACTGGAGGACAGAGGAGTTGGTATGAAGAAATCAGTAAGACATTAGAGTAAAATATGATACTTAAATCAAACATACTTCATACATTCCTTACTTTAGATTTGACTTAAATCGTTTAAGGTTTTCATGAATATTAAAACAGTTTTTGAATTATTAGGATCAGTTTTGTGTGTGGAAGAATTTAGAATGCGGCATCTTACATGAAAATGTTCTTCAGTTGATCTATGTAATCTACCAGTATTGAGCCAGTTAAGATATTGGGAATATTATTTTTCATAAATAAAATTCAGATTTTTTATTATCATCTATGGTGATTCAGTTTTAGACTATTTTCCTGGATGTAGGTTTGTTAAAAATCTGCAATTCAAAATTGGCTTCTCATCGATTGATTTATTTCAAATTGATAATTAAAAACTGGTATATCATATCGTTAATGATTAATAATTATTTGTATAATGTACAACATACTGTCACAGTGTATAACTGACAAAAAATGCCAGAAGTCTAAAAATTTAATTATGATTGTTGTATTTGATATTATCATTCACTTTTAAGATTTAATTTGGCATGTTTTTGCAAAATGAAAACATTCGCCAAAATAAGAATAAATACAGTGTTTTCATGAATTTTTTCATAGATAACATGATGATACATTTTGATATGACATTACAATTTTACAATAATTGAACTTTTGAACGAGGCAGTTATCATCAAGAGTAAATTGCTCTCCAAGTAGTTAGCTAAAATTGGTTGTACCAGTTAATTGCAAAAAATCAATTAGGAATATTTGGCATGACATGAGCTTTAATTTCACTTGGAGATCTCTCTGACGCGGAGATGTACCATGTGGTTTGATAACATATACAGTACATAGGTCATTTTGGATGATATTACCTTTTAATAACGTCATTCTGTAAATTATCCAGATATAATACTCATATCAAAATATATAAAAACTCAGGTAAATGTATCAGTTCTAAAAGACTGATTTCTCCATTGCAGCATAAGTGAGCATAATATGAGGATTTCGGTGTTAATGTGGAAAATAATTGATTGATTAGGGCTCAATTAGATGATTGTTATACTACCATACAGGGAACCTGATGATTGATGATTGTAAATTATGGATGAAAAGTAGAAATGAAATTGAATTGGATATATTGTACTATCGTAACACAAGTTGCCGGATATAACTCAAAGAGAAAGGACTACAACTGCTGAAATATACAGTTCTCTATTATCTTTGAGAATCTACATCATCACTTTCTACTGGGTCTAGAGGTAGGAACAACTGAAATCTTGTGATACAAGATCAGAATCTGGTGATATTTAGAATGTATCATAAGGTTTTTATAGAATACGATAACTGACATTTTAACAGGGACCAGCGTTTATCAAAGAATTTGTAAGTGACTGAACGTGACAGTGATTGTTTATGTAGAATATGGCAGCTGTAGCTTACACGTCTCCAGGACATAAAAGCTCGAAGGAAACCAAACGTGTTTCAACATCGGTTAAATTGCAACTGAACAAGGATTGGATTAATAAAACAATAGTAGGCGATGGGCAAGGAGAGTTGGATATAGATCCTGGCTCATCTACATATGTGTGGATTAAAGGTTCAGAATCGCCTACATATGGAAGTAGTCCTACATCACCGGTGAGGATAAAAAGTCCTACATCACCGGTGAGGATAAAAAGTCCTACATCACCAGTATGGGCCAAATGTCCTAAGTCACCAGTGAGTTTAAAAAGTCCGACATCACCAGTGAGCATAAAAAGTCCTACATCACCAGGCTGGGCCAAATGTCCTAAGTCACCAGTGAGTATAAAAAGTCCGACATCACCAGTGAGCATAAAAAGTCCTACATCACCAGTCTGGGTCAAACGTCCTACTTCACCCATAAGGATCAAAACTTCTACTTCTCCAGTGAATGTAAATTGTCCTACCTCGCCAGTGTGGGCCAAACGTCCTACTTCAGCAGTGAGCATAAGAAGTCCAACATCACCAGTGAGTATAAAAAGTCCTACATCACCAGTATGGGCCAAACATCCTACTTCGCCAGTAAGGATCAAAAGTCCTACTCCAGTGAATATTAAAAGTCCTACCTCCCCAGTGTGGGCCAAACGTCCTACTTCAGCAGTGAGCGTAAAAAGTCCTATATCACCAGTGAGCATTAAAAGTCCTACATCACCAGTGAGCATAAAAAGTCCTACTTTACCAGTATGGGCTAAACGTCCCACATCATTATTAAAGATCAAGGATTCTACTTCACCAGAGAAAGCAAAAACCTTTACAACATCTTCGAGGGCTAAAAGTCCTACTTCAGTAAGCAACAAGAGTATAACTTTACCACTAACTCCAGCCTCACCAGTAAGGAATAAAAGGCCTTCTTTATCAGTAAGGACCAAAAGTCCTACTTCGCCAGCGATGACCAAAAGTCCTCCTCTACCAGGAAAGGTAAAACATACTAGTTCACCGGTAAGAGTCAAAGATTCTACCTTACCAGAGCAAGAAGAAGCCTTTAAAACACCAGTGTGGGTGAAAAGTGTCAAAAGCCCCTCTTTGCCTGTGAGTCCCTCAATACCAGACACGCCAAGCAGCATTGCATTATCTTTCAACTTGAGGAAATCACCACAACGCCAGATATCACAAATATCTAGTACCAGTTCCAATCTTTCAAAGTCATCGAAAACTTCAACTGATGATTTATGTGACACTCCCGAGAGTCCTATAACACCACAGTCGCCACCTATTAGCCAACATATCCATGATAATAATCTTCGAATTCGTAACATCAGCGCCTTGTTACGTGCAGTGAGCCATGACTCCAAGGGAAAGCGTACAAAATGTAAGCTACAAATGAAACGCATTGTCAGTTGCCCAGAAGAGGGAGATAACAAAGTAAATCCAAAAAGTCCAGAAATCTTTAGAACTGACCTTTCAACTGAAATGTCAGGTGGGGCAACCAGGCCTGGGACTTTATCAACTGGGAGCGTCACCCCTCAGTATGGCACAAGTTATATGTATACTAACTCGAACAGTCAAGTTAGTTACCCGGAGTCCAATGATTCAAACCAAATCAATGTGTCATCATATGTTTCACCAGAGCCTTCTCTAATAAGGAGTAAAAGTTCTGGAAGTTATGATAGCGTTGATAGTGGGATTGATGCAGTGAGTCCTGGATCTACGATTGTGTTTCATCGACCATTTGGCGAGATCTCCACACATAAAACAGGTCTGTATTCAAGACACATTTTTTTCTTGAAAAGTCCTCAGCATGATAATGATTACTTAAAAGTTAATGCCACTGCCACCAATTATCATCTGTAAAAAGGCTATGTTAAATCTGTCTTATCCATGCTTCTCAGACCAACCAAAAGTGTTCACTAGGTGTTAACATTTGGACATTTTGAATGTTTTTTTGAAATAGAAGCATATGACAGATTGAGAAAATAGGATGTAAAATAGCATTGATATCGCGAGGTGTCAACTTACCAATAGTTGATATAGCTTTTGCTTTATTTATTTTCATATTCTGTTTCTTAGGATATCATCCAGTAGGACTGGGTCAATTTAAGAATTTTATTGACAATATATAGTTCTGAAGTTTCCTTTTGAATGTTCCCGATGTTGCCCCTTGTCCCCTCTTTTTGGGATGGTTAATTCTCACATCAATCCCTCCTAGCTTTATTTTGGTATCATGTACACTGTACATTATAGATGAACATAGTCAGGCATAAGCCAGGCAAGGATACTGCCTCACTAAAATTTATTGGGCTGAAATATATTTTCAGACATTTTTAGATGTCAAACTGTTAAAATAAAGTTCAACGGTAGAACACCTCCTCTTGACCACTGTCTTTAGTCTAGATTTGCACCGCCTATTTGATTTTTACCTTGCCTAATTATAGATCCTGGTTACGCCTCTGCAATAGGATACACAGTATAGGAATGTCTCATTATAAGAGTATTGATTGTTGTCCCAATCTTCATCAATACAGGATGTAATGTAAATTATTTATCTCAGACTCAAGAGAGGATTCCTTTCTTCTGCCATATTACAGTAAAACCTGTCTAATATGAATACCACAGGGACTGAGGCTTAAAGTGAATAGCTAGTGTTCATATTTCAAGGTTTCTTTAACAAGGGAATCAATGGGAGTCAAATTTAGGAGTGGGAGAAAGTGTTCATATTGGGAGGTGTTCACATTACAGAGGTGTTCAAATATACAGGTTTAACTGTACTGCTATTTTGTATGTTGCATGCCATGTCGAAATAATTTGTAGTGTTATAAATTGCAAAATATCAATAATCCAAGGTGTATACATGTTTGGTGATGTGACCTAATATGGACATATTAAATGGCACCATATGTTTGTTACAAGTCATTACAGGTGCTATCAACAAGTTTCATGACCTTAAATGTCCCCTAATAACATTTTGCAAAAAGTATCATACTCGTATATTATGATTTTGTTGAGTACTTATTCAAGTATTTTTTTGTCAATTTAGTCTGTTGATCACTTCACAGGTTTCAGAATCACTAGATACTTTACCTAATTAAAACTTTAATTATGACGGAAATATACGAATTTTGATTCTAAATTGAAAGTCTTGATCTGAATGTATTAATTTATCTCATTTATGTCTACATGTATACATGTAGACATATCTATGTACAGAAGTTAATTGAACAGGTGTTTATTATAGCTGAGCTCTGGAAGCTGCTTTACTGATTCATAATCATTTTAGGAATTTTAGAATTTGGTGAAATCTAGGATGACAAAAAGTGCATGTGAGATAAAATGGTGCTGAAACTAAGTTGATAAAGCCCATAAAGCAAGCCACAACTTTACAATCCCCATTTGACATTTATCCTACACTGAACTTTGATGTATTATTGTTTATGTTACAGGTTTGAAACATTCTGTGTCTACTGAAGAGAAAGGTTCCAAGACAAAACCTCTTCGTGTCATTAAAATAAAAACACATAAGTCTGACCAGTCAAATAAACCCACCGAGGCAATTCAACCCACAGAGGCAAATAAAGCTATTGAGGCAGCTAAACCAATTGAGGCAAATAAACCAATTGAGGCAGCTAAACCTGTGCAGCATGTGAACCCAGTCCATGTGAAGCAGGTTCAGGCCAACAGACAGGTTGATGTCACTACTAAGCCTTTCGCTAAGAACTTTGTGCGCCCTCTATTGCCAGTGGACCCAGTGGTTAATGGAGGGGAGGTGCATGGATTACGGGATTCACAAGCTTTTCATGATGATGAGAAAGTGCAGCCTAGAGTTACAGCCATGAGTTGGGACCCGGTATGTATGTTTTTATTATTATAACAGTGTGGTATTTTTGTATTTGGAGAAGTTTTACAGTATTGTGACTGAAATGTTTAAAATAAACTTTTATTACTCTTAGGCAAGTTTCCAAATAAAAAATTCTGTTTATATTATGAAAAACAACAAAAACAAAATATTTGGTTCTCAAATAGATCTCATATTGATAAATAGGTAATGAAGTACTTGTTTCAATGTGAGATATTCAAGAAAGAAATTATGAAAAATTGTAAAAAAAAAACAAATAGCAATTTAATATGTTCAAGGTAATTACACACTTTCATAATAAGGTGATAAACAAAAATTGGGGAAATGTGATTTCAACATTCATACTCTAGATATTTTAATTTTCAACAATATTTTCCATTGTATCATCTTAACAAATATTACCTATTTTATTTATTACTGGAACTTTTAGTCATGAAATGGGGAGATAGACCTTCTCAATAAATCCTGACCCCCTTTAGTGATCTATGGAAACCAAAGTACATTAGATTTAGGATTTCATACTTTGCAGGCATGGTTTACTATTGAAATTTAACATCAAGATATTTATTAATACTTGCACATATGATTCAAATGTTTATTGTCTTGTAGCATCTACTTCTGAAAGAGATGTACACCATCAAGTTAGAAGATGAATGTGCCAATGACGTGTCATCACATATTATCAATATGGAGGGTTACATGGAAAAACTCCCACTTAATAAGAAAAAGGCAACTCTGCTGAAAACCTGGAAGAGACGGTTCTTCAAAGCCCAAGATGGCCGTCTGCATTATTATGAGGTTAGAAATTAATCCTTGAGTCGGTCCTACTGAAGCAAAGATGATTTAATGACATCCTGTGTTGTTTGTATCGTTATATTAGTATTCATTTCTCAGGAAGAGAAACTTACCCAGAATTCATAGATTAACATCAAGGTTCGTCCTGAGATGAAGATAGCTTTCGTCTTTGAATTTTGGGTTATTCTCCCTCTTTCACTCGATCCTCCCAGTTTTCTGCAAGTTGAAACTTTAAATGAATTCTGCAAGGGAAATGGCCAATTTCACATGAATTCTGTATTATATCTCTGCAGTTTTAGATGAACAACGAGATATTTTTACTTTTTTTTGGTGAATTACGACCAGAAATATTAGATGCTGAAACTACAAAATTACAACTTGTCAATTCCGCTGGCAATTCTCCGGAAATTGATCAAAATTCAAGATTCAGCAAATTGTGGGCAAAATCAATTGTGGGCCAAAATCTGGGGAAATGAAAAACTGGGATGAGTGAATGTCATTTCGACAAATATTTTAGTAGTCAACTAGTACATGTATTTAATTTTTTGTGTTGTAAAATATTTTTCAATTTCTTTTGTTGCTACCCTGTGTAGGATGAACCAGAATCAGAGGTAAAACTGAATGATTGTCATTCTATCAGCATATTTTGGTTTTGATTGCTTTTGTTGGTTTAAATCCATTGCTGAGTCCATTTCTTACTACTGGTATTACATGCGCATGCATTTCATTTTCAACAACTTTTTAAAAATGAGTATAATCACTATGTGAGCCAACAGAATGGTGTCACCTTTGTTTTTGAAGTTTTCATTTTGGTTTTTGTTTATTTGAATTTATGTTGTATATGAGGTTCATTTGAAAAGTTCATTTCTTTTTGCCTCTTGTATATAAACATTGAGGGACATTTTATAACTAAAGCTTGATAGATTTCATGATTAAAGCCGTATGCATGAAATTATAATAGCCTCATTTATTTCATGATTAAAGCTTCATACATTTCATGTTTAAAGTCTCACAGATTTCATGAATAAATCGTCATTTATTTCAATATTCTAAATTCAATATTACATTCAACATGCAAAGCTTAAGGGAAGCTATTCCATGCATTATGTTAATATATCTAGACTTTTGTGTGTCATTAGAGTGCTTTATTTCAATATTATTTTAGTATCTCCAAATTAAATTTTCTATCTGTTGGTCCATCCATCTGTCAATACTTCATATCTTACAGAATATGTTACTTGTCGCTGAAAATATGTTTCCCAATGAATATATCACTTGTCCCCAAGAATGTTAGTTGTCAAACAGAATATGTTCAAGCAGAACATGTTACTTGTCTCACAAAATCTGTTACTTGTTCCACAAAATCTGTTGCTTGTCCCACAAAATCTGTTGCTTGTCTCACAAAATCTGTTGCTTGTCTCACAAAATCTGTTACTTGCCCCACAAAATATTTTACTTGTCTCACAAAATATGTTACTTGTCCCACAAATTCTGTTGCTTGTCCCACAAAATCTGTTGCTTGTCTCACAAAATCTGTTGCTTGTCTCACAAAATCTGTTACTTGCCCCACAAAATATTTTACTTGTCTCACAAAATATGTTACTTGTCCCACAAATTCTGTTACTTGTCCCACAAAATCTGTTGCTTGTCTCACAAAATCTGTTACTTGTCCCACAAATTCTGTTACTTGTCCCACAAATTCTGTTACTTGTCCCACAAAATCTGTTGCTTGTCTCACAAAATCTGTTACTTGTCCCACAAATTCTGTTACTTGTCCCACAAATTCTGTTACTTTTCCCACAAAATCTGTTGCTTGTCTCACAAAATCTGTTACTTGTCCCACAAATTCTGTTACTTGTCCCACAAAATCTGTTGCTTCTCTCACAAAATCTGTTACTTGTCTCACAAAATCTGTTACTTGTCCCACAAAATCTGTTGCCTGTCTCACAAAATCTGTTACTTGCCCCACAAAATCTGTTACTTGTCTCACAAAATCTGTTACTTGTCTCGCAAAATCTGAAACTTGTCCCACAGAGTGTTGACAGCACAGCATTTTGTTTTGTAGAATGATGCTGGTGTGAAAGAACATGGAGAGATCAATTTAATGGGAGGTCAGGTTGATGGACTTGGAGGTCGAATGATTGGCATTGATGATGGGGTGAGTAAAATGTCACATATGTGTATACATCTGTGTACCATTTGTAATATAATATCAGATGTTAATATTGTTCGGTCTCTTTTTGCTTTCTGCAGAAATATAAAGTGTAAAGTGTAAAGAAAAAATTGAATTTATGAACCAACTGTTGTAAATGGCCTTAATTTTAATTCAATTGTGTTGGGTGCAGTCAAACCCTGTCACAAGACATCAGTGTAATATTTGAGGTTCAGCCACACAATTGTTATAGAACTTGTATGTGAACATGTAATAGTATGATCCCCCACAGATATCTTTCCACCTCACAATCAGTTTTTCCAGGGACCTAATTACAACATTTTCCTTGTATCTTCATATTCAATTGGGCAAGGAAATAGTATGAAGAGAACTAATCTGTAGAAGATTATAATTCCACACATTCATGTATAAGTTCTGTTAACAATGTTTTGCTTAACTTTCCTAATAAGCCTCCATTGCGCCCACATTCTGTTCCTTTTACAGAGAGGTAGATACATGATCACCAGGTGTCCCACTGACAAGGAATACAATGAGTGGATGATTTCCCTAGAGTCTCAGACCATAGACAACACACACGCTACATACGTGAAACCTGTCATCAAATCTCTACATCACCCCTCTAAGGTACCTTAACCAGTTAAGAATGACATCAATTGAAAAAGGATAGAAATTAATAATCGATCTACAGTTTTAATCATTTATTTATTCATTCAATTATATATCATATAATTCACCAGTATTACATTCAGGATTAATATGTGTACAGGTATTTTTTTTTTTAATATGTGTACAGGTAGATGGAAAATAAATATACAGTAAAAATTGGAACACTTTTGGTTCATCTAAAAGGTGTTCAGCTGAGAAAGTTTTACAAAGAGGTTGAGTTAACACCAATTTCATTGGGTCTGGAAGGTGTTCCACTTATAGATGTGTGCCACTTGAAAGGCTTAAGTGGAACACTTCCAAGACCTATTACTCATTTATTTTATATAAAATGAAGTGGAACACTCATAGTCCAACACCATTTTAAGGTCCCAAAAGTGTTCCACTCACATTGGTCTTTTTGTATTTATAAAACTTTTTCTAACAAGTGGTGTATTATTTTGCAGAAAGTGTTGATTATAGACCTTGGAAGCTGTTCCATTAGGGCTGGGAAACTTGGCAATGAACGTAAGACATCAATATATTCATACAATTTAAAGTAATTTATTCTTAATATAAGTTGAGGATCCACTTTATAATGATATGTTAACAGTATCAGAGGAAAGCATTATCACAGATGCTGTACCACTTTACCTATGCTACTGAATGCTTGAGGAACTGTAAAGTTACGTCCTTTGTATACTCTATGTATACATGTACATGTAATGTATGTTATGTACATGTTAAATGACTTGAAACTGGATTAAATCTTTAAATGAAAACATCTGAGTTAATTCGATTTCACCTCCAGTTTATTTTACCACACCCTCCAGTTTATTTTACCACACCCAACACATTCAGCAGCCAATCAGTATCTAGTACAGCCCATGAAATAATGAGTGCTAAATATAATTGTCTCGACATATTTAGCTAGTAATGTTGAAAAAATCACACAAGTGGGAAATTCAATTTGGCAATTTTAAAATACAAAACCATTCGAATAGATCTACAGGGCGTTCAGTAAGTAAAGCTAATTTTGCTCTCAAACTTTTATTTTTTGTCATTTATCTTTCAAATTTTCAGTGAAGAAGCATTTGACATTTTTCTAATTACCCTGAAAACTTAAATAAGATATGATGAATAAGAGCAAAACAATGGTTGTCATAGTAACGTGAATACGGGTTCTGCGGAGCAATTTCTTACTTTAATAAAAATGTTATAATGCAATGGAATTGATTTAGATTAATGCTGCATATGTCTTTGTTTGCTATGGCTGAAAGTCACGACAAACATAACAACAACATACACAAATATGATACCATGGCAACAGTAGTCTATGACATCACAGACAGATGATACAACAGATGGAATGATCCAGAATGATCCATCAGACATTGGTCCATGACATCATCAAAATCATGGCTGCCAGGATTGCCAATGGAAGCAAAATGAACAATGAAATGAAACAACAATTGAGAAGTAGCATCAGATACAATGTGTTGCTAGGGAAATCCAAGCAGGATACCATTAGGGATATCCAAAAAGCATATGGGGACAGTGTGCCTATGTACACAATCTACAAATGGTATCAGAAATTCCAAAAGGGGAGAAAAACAACAAGTGATGATAAGATCCACGCAAATATCCATGAGCTTCAGAATGCCGTTCAACGTTCGCTGACAAAGAACTTTCCAGATGGCTTCCACAGGATATATCAGAAGTGGATAGAACGACATCAGCTGTGTGTGAAAGCTAAGGGAAACTACTTTGAACATGAAATAGAATGCTAACTTGAAAGTAGAAATGTGGAGTAGCCACAGAACTATGGTTGAAATATAGACAGGACAGAAACTAACGTTAACAAAATCTACTAGGCTGTGAACTTATAAAATTGCTCCACAGAACCCGTATTCGCGTAACTATGACAACCACCATTTTGCTGTTATTCATTATATCTTAATCATTTTTTCAGGATAGTTAGAAAAGTGTCTGATGCTTCTCCACTGAAAATTTGAACGATGATAGACAAGAAATAAAAGTTTGAGAGCAAAATTAGCTTTACTTACTGAACGCCCTGTATAAGCTTTTATTCCATTATAGCATCCCTACCTGAGGTGTTTTTCCCAACTATCATTGCAAAGAACAAACAAACTGGGGAACTAGTTTGTGGCGCAGATGCATACAAACCAGCAATTCGGTCCAACAGTGACATCATTCACCCAATCAGACCTTCTCATAAAGTTGATAAGGTATGTACAATGTCTATCAATTAACACGTATATACTGAATATTTTGATGTTTTTGTGGAAAATGGTTTTACACAAGTAGCTTAGTCTCTGGATTAGGAAGAAAGAATAAATCTTCAAAGAAATAATTCATGTGTAATGTTGCATTTATAGCACTTTTGTTTTGTATCCAGTTTAGTTGTGATTGCACATTTTATTTTTACGACCTGCATTTCCTATTTTTACTTGTGAGTTCCTTATATTTATTTTTGTGCTTATTGTTATCTCAATTTTGTGTATTTCTGTTGTTATTTAAACTTGTTTGCATATTACAGAAATCCCCAAGTCCAGTAAGTTTTGGAATGTTTGATATTAATACACTCTTTCCTAATTTGCACATTTGACAATGATACAGCTGTAATATATCCTTTAAACCCTATAATAATGTATTATAGAGGTTTGTTGGTTGACCTATGCCTCAATATGCAGTTTAGTTACATCTGTCTAAATACACTCTGTCATAACTGTTCTTGAAACTGGTACATGGTGCTCTTGAGATTTCTCTTTATTTTCCCATTCCTCAATTAGGTCTCCAAATACATTGGAACGCAACATCACCAGGACAACGCACCATAATAAGTTTGTTACTCTGCAAGTCATTGTGTATTCTGTCACATGATTTTTGAATTCTTTGAGGGTGAACAGAGAATTTGGTTTGAACTTAAACTTTGTAAGACTCTTTTTCCAATTTTTAGAGCTTTATTAGTGAATGAAAACAAAGAATGAAATAATTTGCTGATGGTGGATGTGAAAAAGTCAGTCCACCCAGTGGGAAACAAACAGACAGAATATTTTTATGTGTTATTTTTTTATTGCATTATAATTTACATTTGATTTAACACTGGTAGTGAGGGTTTTGAAAACTGCTTTAGAAATGTGTATGATAAAATGGAACTTATAGAGAGTTGGAGCTCAAACTCAAGCTCTTTGTTTCACCCTCACATGAATACAAATGTCAAAGTGTCGTAAAATATATTTGTTTCGTTAAAATAATCAAATGTTCATATTTTAAAAGTTGACAAAAACATATACCATTTAATTTCCTTTTCTTATAATTAATCATGCTGTATGCCCCTGAACTTATTTACCAAAAGAGAACATTCTAATTCCTTTTTTTGTATTTCTCCAGTTTAATATTGACATGCAGTTGATGCCAGCACTCTTTAAGAAGGTGTTCACTGAGCTGGCAGTAAACCCTAGAGAATACTGGGTAAATACGTAGATTGTTGTATTTGATGATTCAAAATATTGACCTTTGCTGAGGTTTCAAATCTTTTGAAATTAAATCAACTTTTTTTTCAAAATTCAACTTATTTTGAAAAATATTTCAAACGATTTTTTAAGTAGTGACAAATAATATTTGGATGATTCTACAATATTTTCAAACTTTGAATGAGGATATGTGGAGAAAATTTCTTTTTCTTTTCCTCAGTTCATGAAACACATCTATCAATAAGCTTCTAAAAATAATTTAAATGGTAAATAAAAGTTTATTTCTTCAAAAAAAAATTCAATGAACTTCTTCATGTGTAACTCCATCTTCCTAAGCAGGTGTCCAGAATCCGTACGTCCTTCTTCCCCCTGCTATATCCAATTCAATGGTAACTGCTTATCGCAGGGGGTAAAAGAAAGAATATATTCTGGATTTCGAAGCCCTGTGATCGGAGGATGGTGTAACTCTTACATGTGCAATTTCTAGATTTATATGTGTAATCTGTAGGTGTTGCTGAGTGCTCCCCAGAATCTGAGTACTCCTCTGATGAGTCAATTAATGGCACTGCTGGTGGAGGAGATGGGGGTCCTGGGGGTGAACATTGTCAGTCAGTTCCTCCTCTCGCTTTACTCCTACAATGCTACTTCAGGCATCCTGGTTGATGTGGGGGATAGGTTCGATATTGTACCCATCATTGATGGTAATTAAATACATTGTTTTATACTCTAATTGCATGTTGGATTAAAAAACATATCAACTTAATAGATATTAATTAATATTAATAGATAATATATTTCTGGCAAATTTTCACAAAACCATCCGATATGAATATAACATTATGAGATGTGGCTCCATATCTGATAGTTTTATAGATTGTTGCTACTTATATTAACTCATATTAACAATTGGTGCAAGGCTTCAGTGTTCATGAAGATATTGTATTCATTAATGGATAAAAATCATATCTCACATACATGTATATCATAGGATATTCTCTGTACATTCTAGGGTATATCATAGAGAAGGGTGTGTCCAGGAAGCCCTATGGTGGAGCTAGAATAGCTGAGGCTTTGAATTCGTCACTGACTGAGAACAAATACAGATTCTTCACGGAGGTTGAGAAACTTATAGTCAGACATGTCATGGAGAGGGTGAGTAGAAGTTAGCCTAATAAGTAAATTATTCTTAACTGCAGTTTTTCTTTCACATAGATAATAGATTTATAAAGAAATAATAGATTTATAAATTCATTCAAGAAATAATAGATTTATAAATTCATTCAAGAAATAATAGATTTATAAATTCATTCAAGAAATGATAGATTCATTCAAGAAATAATAGATTTATAAATTCATTCAAGAAATAATAGATTTATAAATAAATTTATAAGAAGAAATTAGTTTTTGCCTTAGATAACTAGTATGTACAGTAAAACCTGTAGAACTGAAAATAGAAATATGAACACCTGCAAAAACTTTTGGCCATTCTTGGTGGTATTCAGATAATACAGGTTTTACCATATTCATTTAAATGTCAATATGTAATATCTTGGTAAGATATCCTATATTGGAATTGAACATTATCATTTTTAACTACAGGTTAACAAGTTTTCAAATTTTGGTATACTAAAAGTGGAAGAAATAATTACTTTACAATACAAGATAATTACTTTCAGACATTTTTGTGGAGTACTAAGAATATCCCCACAATGTACCATAAAATAGACCATGATACTTGTTTACTGTAATACTCTACAACTTGTGTTTTCTTCCTAGTCCTGCTACATGGCTGTAGACTACAAGAAGGAAGTGAAGAATTTCTCCATGTTACCAGGTGACTTCAAGGCCACAGTTGACCTGAGTCAGTTTGATATTCCAGAGGGCATGTGGAGGTGAGATTTTGAGTGTATGCCATTTTAAGTTTATGCCATTTTGAGTGTATGCCATGGCCATTGCCTTAGCTTGGCAAGAAGCAGGCGAAGCAATTATCTCTCCTGAAAAAGATGATTCATCCAGTTTGTAGTATATCATTATTACCAAAACACTTGTTCAGCTGTGGTTTGAGCTAAAATATGTAATCACTTTTCAAGTGATGTGTTGCATCACCAATTAAGATTTCCAGTTTTATTTTCATCCTCATAATTTCATATTATCATATTAAGTCATGTATATATTTTCAGTTCTGTGTCGCATGACGTGAGTAGATTCCGTGCCCCCGAGGGTCTCTATGATGTAGATTCCTGGGGTATGGACAACCAAGGACTCCATAAGTTGGTCAATGAGGCCATCAATGCCAGCCCCATGGACACAAGACGAGAGATGTGTCGTAGCATCTTCCTTAGTGGGGGAGGTACACTTTACCCAGGATTTGCTGAGCGCCTACAGAAGGAGATCACAAAGCTCATGCCAGAATCTATAACAGTACAGGTGAGGTGTCTATATCACCAAATGAGGCAAAATTTCTTTCAAGCCTGAAGTGCGAATAACACATACCAGTGGCGGATCTGGGAACCAACGCGGAAAAAAATTTTGGGCCCCTAAAACCCGAAAGTTGGCCCAAATTTTGAGGCCCATTTTCTTTAAAATTTGGCCTGAAATTAAAAAATAAGGCCATACAAGGCCCAGTAATGACTAAAAAGGCCCTCTTTTTGGGGCCTTAAGGCCTTATTTGGCCCAAAAAATATTTTGGGCCCTATTTTTTTCTGGGTCCACCAAAGGGGGGGGGCCCTAGATCCGCCAGTGCATACAGTAATGTAGAAATACTTTTGGTCAGCTTTGCTATCAACACCCACTATTAGTCATTTCATAAGACCGTCAGAATACAATTGTTTTGCAGAGAGGCAGTAAAATGTTGGTCTTTATACTATTACTTTATTAGCCCATAATGGGGACTTTGAATGCCCATACAGTAAGATTTCTCAAATCAGATTTAAAGGTTTCTTAACATATGAGTCAATGGGAGGTTACAAAATTGGGACCAAGAAAATATGTTCACATTGAGAGGGGTTTGGATAAGCAAGTGTTAGGATATACAGGTTTTACTATATACATGTCTGTTATTTGCCCATATAGTAATTATCTTATTGTGTGTTGCAGGTCCACGCCTCCCCACAGCGATACCACTCTGCCTACATAGGGGCCTGTGTCCTGGCCAACCTAGGTGTATTTGAAACTGCAGCTATATCACGTAAAGATTGGTTTAAAGATGGTGCAAAACTACTACGAAAATGGCAGAACTATTAAACAATTGGACCAGTGCAACAGAGGGCATAAAATCGCAAACTGATTCTCATGTTGGAGACAGGGATGTTTATATTAGCAATATTAGCAAACACCTTGAACATGTAGTTAAATGATAAACGTGTACATGTCTTTCATGTATGCTAAGAAATCGAGTACATTGTACAGTAAATGAAATTTAACACCTCTGCTAGTGGAACTCCTTTGCAAATGGAAGGCTCTCGATCTCAGATTCTGATGACCCATTGACTTAATGTTCATTGAGCCTCTATAACTAGAACATCTAAGTGTATTACTTCTAAGCAGAACCAAGGCTGTTCCATTTGCACCAGTTTTACTGTTTATGCACACAAATAAGTCATCAATATTCTGAGAGACATGTGATTTGGTGCAATCCACTTATTTCATGCAAGGGGGGGGGGGGGGGGGTAAAAATAAAATATTGTTGAATGCTTAACTATGTAGGAAAAAATTGATTGTGTAGTCAGATATAATCTTGCCTAGTTGATAACCACGTTCCAATTAGCCTACTTAAATTATATAGTACTAAATAGAAAATGTTAGAAAAGGACTTATTTGGTGAATTGTATAAAAATGTTATCTTGCCAGTATTGCAAGCTGTTGTAATGTCAGTTCATCATTTTATTTCCTAAGGTTGTTATTCAAGTCTGATTTCTAAATATAATTAATGCTTTATATTTCATGAAAGGTTACTTCATTTAAAATGAAGAGGGTTGGGCTATATGCATTATTCATATTCAGAAGCAGAGGATTAGATACTGCTTCCTAGGATATTTATTGAAATGATGATGATGTTTTATGAAATGATGATGATATTTTATGAAATGATGATTGATGATGAAATTATTATTTGAAATTATTAAAATTATAATATTTGAAAAATTTGTGCTAAAATCACATGGATATCTCTACCGAGCTACTATGTACACTTACATATATTGACCAGACTTGTAAAAGTTTTTTGGTCATATTGAAGGCCAAAAAGAATTGTTGCGGATCATACATAAGATTGATATGTAAGATTCAAAACATGCGATTCCCACACAAAATGCTAATATTTTAAAATAAAATGAGGTGCAAGGTTGTTGACTTAGCTATAATGAATTTTTGTGTATTACATTTTTTTATAAGATTATTAGATATGTAAATACCAATCCTTGTTGAATGAAGCCTTTTGTTCTTCAATTTTTTATTTGACTCATATAAGTATATGTAGACTATAGACCAATTTTCTCCATATTTGGTAGACAGATAAGGAAATGTGGATTTCCATTAGTTTTGAAATCTCGGAAATACGGTTGTAATACTCAAATCAAAGGTATTTTAAAGTATTTGCAAATATTAGAGAGCTTCCGATATAAGTTATTTGGAATATGCCAACCTGTACTTGTACAAGTCAGGTATAGCACTGGGAATTCTGGAAATGAAGAAAGAGTGCTTCAAATCACAACAAATATTGCTGGAATATTTAGGAAACGAGGACAATTTTTTGATGAAAAGTGCTTTTCTAGTTTCTTTGAGAAACCTTCCTCCCCATTGGTGCATATGTCATTTAAAAGTTAAAGTTGCAGTATAAGTTTGGCTGAAAACTTATATTGAAAGCTCTCTAATCTCTCACTTATACCTAAGAAAATAAAATATGGCTGCTTATTAAAATTATAAAATGGGTATTTGCAAAATCTTAAGGTTTCTACAAAGTATGTCTTCATTATATGCAAATTAAAGCTATTTAAACATATTATCATTATACAGTAAAACCTGTCTTAGTGAACACCTCTCTCTAGTGAACACCTGTCCCTAGTGGACACCCTTCCTACGCACATAGTCCACTGACTTCTGTATAAATTACCCTCTCTCTAGTGAACACCTACCTACAGTGAACGTTTTTTCTTGGCAAAAAAATGTTCACTATACACAAGTTTTACTGTATTATATAATAACTATTTCAGGTTTATGAAAAATTGATTTTAGGGAATCGTTCCTATTAGTTGGGATTTGTTACACTGTGGAGTGGCTATTTTCTACATACAAATAATTTATATATAGAAATATTATTTGCATAATTTTACAAGATTTAAATGATAGGAATTGTAGATTTATCACATTTATAGATTTAAAACACCTCTCTAAGATCGTAATAATATGTGAACTGGAAAAAATTTATGAATCCTAATGCGAACATGGGATCACTCTAAATGTGAGTGGTTTTGGTAGGTTTTAATTACATATGAAATTGATATATTTTACCAAATGTTAAGAAATATTCACATAAACTCATGTTATCATTGCATGCCTAGGTGAATATAATATTCAGCATGTTCTTGGTGAATTAATGACACAATGACGTTATGAATATTGTTGATTTTCTCGTTTATTCTTGTTCCACAGGTTTACACATGTATAAGAAATAAGTACTTCATATTGTATTATCAACTTAATGTATTTTACATAATTGAGCAATTTTATTGATTAATTGCATTATAATGTTACAATATGCTTTTGTGTATTAAATAGAAATACAGCAATATTTATTATCATTTACAATAATTATTAATTTTTGTGTTGGATTTTCTGTCTCTAAAATGGGATCCTTATATTAGTTTTGAAATATAAGCCTATAATAAGCCCATGCAGTTCACAATGAGATAGAAAGACTATCTAGGCCTCGGTTGTGTTCATTTTCAATGAGGATGAATTCTCATGTATTATTCAATGTCCCTTTCTGTAGTAGTATCACATGTTGGATTTTCTCTCCCATCTTTGTTTCTCAGCAAATCTGAAAGAGAAATATATTCTGAATTCTAAATGATCCCACAGTAAAAAGAACAATGAACTTGAAGTAAAAAACACTGTAGTTATGACTCCTAGATTGAATATACCCCTCTAAATGAAAAATGAAATATAATAGGTGTTTTTCTTGTTCTTGTTTGTTAAACTAGTATACGGATGAGGGGATGAAGTCATGAAAAAGAACTTTGCATAGGCCTTTAAACAAGGGAAACTTTTAACATCCATAATCAGAGACATTCTAATCATTCATATCCATATTCTGATGCATGAATGACAGTATGATAATGTTTACTATTGTTTATAAATTATCTTTTTGTAAATAGATGTCACTCTATATAGATGTGTCTATGATCAAAACAATCTCCCAGCAATTTGTTCACCCTATCCTACTTTCTCTCTGCAGACATTGAATTTCCTTGAATTTGAGCTAGTTTATCAACATTGCTTTGTACGTTAACTGGTGAATACAAATGTAATACAACTTCTTATTAGAAATATGATTGTTAAAAGTTGCTATAAATCTTGTATAGAAAGAAATTCAAACTCTATTTCAACAGAATGATGTAATTTCCTAAAGGTACGTTCACACCAACGGCGAATGCCACGCTTTAAATCGGCGAGCAAAGCGCCGTCATTTTTGTCATTTTCTTCATACCAACTGCGCTTTGATGGCGCTTTAAAGCGGCTTGTAAAGCGGCACCAAAGCGTAACAAAGTTTGATTAAAGCGTCCGGGTCGTAATAGGTCGTAGAAAAGCTCAGAGTAAAACGGGATATTCGGCAAGAGCGCCAAAAAATTTTAAACTCTTAAAAAATTTTGGGCGCTCTGTTACGAATCGATTAAGCGCCGAGAGCGTATCAAAGCTTAACAAACCGTAACAAAGCTCAGAAAAACTTGATCCAAAGCGTAGGAAAGTTTAACATAGCTCTAAAAGGTTCCTCACGCTTTGATCCCGCTTTGATCAGGCTTTGTTACGCTTGAAATCACGCTTTGAAAAGCTTTGATAAGCATTATTACGCTTTGATGCGATTATGACGCTTTAAATCAGGCTCTGATACGATTGCAAAACTCTGTTGTGCATTGTTACGCTCTGTTAAGCTCTATCACGCATTGGAAAATGTCGAGATCGCCGATTCCATGCCGCTTTTGATCCAATGACTATATAAAGATGCAGTAGATCCATAAAACCATAGCATCTTTGACTCGAGAACACGATGGCAGAACAACGAGATCCAGAAATTCCAGATGGACCAGAGCATGACCTATCTGAAGAAGACATGACGTTTGTCGCACGGCGTGATATAGCGTGTGAAAACTTTCAAGCGTAACAAAGCCTAGCAAAGCGTTTCAATCCTTGATTAAAGCGTCTCAATTCGTTGGAAAGCTTGAGAGTCCCCCAGGAAAGTGTAACAAAGAGTGTCAGATATTGATGAAAGCGTCTGACCTCGTGTCAGATCTTCATGCCAGATCGTAGCAAATCTTGAGACATCTTAACGAAGCGTGTCAAGTGGTAACAGACCGTGAATAGACTGGGGTCCCCGCTTTGAACCAAGCTGTGTTAAGCTTTCCTACGCTTTGAGTCAAGCTTTGTTGAGCTTTGTTACGGTTTGTTAAGCTTTGATACGCTCTCGGCGCTTCAATCAATTCGTAACAGAGCGCCCAAAATTTTTAAACAGTTTAACATTTTTTGGCGCTCTTTCCGAATATCCAGCTTTACTCTGAACTTTACTACGACCTATTACGATCCCGACGCTTTAATCAAGCTTTGTTACGCTTTGGTGCCGCTTTACAATCCGCTTTAAAGCGCCATCAAAGCGCCGTTGGTGCGAACGCTTAAACAGTTTAAATTTTTTAGCGCTCTTGCCGAATATCCCGCTTTACTCCCGAGCTTTTCTACGACCTATTACGACCCCGACGCTTTAATTAAGCTTTGTTACGCTTTGGTGCCGCTTTACAAGCCGCTTTAAAGCGCCATCAAAGCGCCGTTGGTGTGAACGTACCATAATGAAAGTGGGATCTTTGGGAATGAAAAAACAAAGATCTGCCGAGAAGTAGTCAGAAACACAGAAATGACTGCTGTGGAAATATGTGAAAAAAGTTATAATATTTATTGGGCATGTATTCTCTCACCCCCAGTTGAGTTTCTTCCTTTCTCTTTCTTTCTTCAGTTGATCTTCTTTCTGCTTCTCCTCAGCATATTTCTTTGCTTGGAAAGCTTCAGCGACTTTACTTCCAAACTGTGAATTACAAGAGTATCAATGCTAATTCAGTAAAATCTCTCATCCACATTTCCAGGCTTTGACCTGTAAGTCTATATGGAAGATTAAAGGCAGAATCAGACCTATAGAAGGTGACATAGTTACAAGCAACATGTACAATTGATCTACCAATGTGTTCCTTACAAGCTAATAATATCTCCCAAAAGATTCATGACATATTATAGATTGGTGAAGTTATGATGGATTCAAAATGCAAAAATGGATGAAAAGTTTTTAAATTCTCCAAAATAATAAGAATGGTAAACATTCTTATAAAAAATAATACATTATTGTAAAGATCTTTGGTTTTCCTGAAATGAAGTGTGTACTTTGGGTATTTTTAGAAAATAGACATGACAAAGAATGACATGGGCCATAAATATTTTAAAATTGAAACAATTTTTTGTTTGCCTGCCCGCTAGATCTGATTCTCTCTTTAACAAGAGGACTAAATAAATAAAAAGGCATTAACATTGAGATGTGTTCAGATCAGATCTGTCAAATATGCAGGTTTTACTGTATTTACATGTCAATAGTGGAATCTGGAAATGTTATGTATATTTAGCAGTATAGGATTAATAAATCAATAGTCATGGGGGAGGGGGGGGACTCAATGAGTATAGGGACATAGAGTAGGGGGACTACACTCTCTAGGGACATTTATTTCTGTTATACTGTGCTTTTGCATTATATTGTATGAAATAGTGAATGTATTCAGCTACTACTATATACAGACAATACTGTTATCCTTGACTTGACAATGTAACATTCATTCTATTCTGTACGTTACGTTACGTACACGGCATGTTACACAACACAACACAACACACCTTTAATTTAGATCAAGCTTTGGCTTGTGGTCGCTACACTTTTGCTTGTGGTCGCTACCCTTTATTTGTAAATACTAGTATATGTGTACATGTGACAAGATGTTTACAATACTTTTGATTGATATCGTTTTGTAAGACTGTTTGCATGGCCTGCTCATTTGTAAATCCTATTATACGTGTACATATGGCAGAAACTGAGCCGCGTATATTGTATAATTAGTAAAACAGTTTGTATGCAACGTTTAATTGTTGCCTGATTGATATCAAGGTGGTTGATCACCATTAAAACCAAAGATGCTATTCAACTGAAGTCGATGCCCTATGGAAAGGTATAACCCCACCTCTCAACCCATCAGACCCAATCGTAGGTAAAATCTGTTTGGATGCAGAAATAGCTTTTTAAAAAATTTTGCTTAAAATTTTTGGAGTTGACTGTTCGGCGACCAAGCCCAGAATGACTTCTCTATCCATAAAACTCACTCACTAAACAAGGCCCAAGACACAAAAATCTTTGCTCAACTCGAACAGCATGCTACATCACCAAATCATGATTCATGCCTTTTCTTCACTTCACTGCACATATATAGAAAGTATTTATATTCTTAAATCGCTTCGCTCAAACGAATATAAATTTTCAATAACTATCATGCATTAGTATATACGACCTTAAGAGGTGCTGGACTGCTCGTGTTCCAGTGGACACCATGTATTTAAAAAATGTTGAAATACCTCTCTATTGGCCATGTGGTCACTGAGCTGCTCTGCTTTGGTGTACTGTCCCTGTGATATAGCAGCATCAACCTCATTCTCTAGTTTAGTCTAAACAAAGGAACAAATGAAATACACCACTCATCCAAATAACATTGCAAGTACGAAATCACAGGACCAAATCTGTCCATGCAGAGGTGATTCAGGCTCAAAGGTTTGTTAAATGGTACATTTCTTAATTTACAAATATTCATTCGTATTGAAATATACACATGTCCTCTGTTACATTTTTTCCAGGTCTCATTTAACTGAATTTCTATATGTTTTGTGTTATATAGATTTCCTATACTATGATATTACCTTTGGGGCATATCTTCCTGGATCGATTCCTTTCAGATGATCTTTACAATGAAGATATGGCTTGATATCACTCCAGCTCTCTACGCCACTAGCTGAAGAGGTTTCATTTGTGTCTGGTGTCTTGGTAATTTCATCTTTATCAGGTTCTGTAGATTTCTTCTCTGGGGGTTCATCAACAGATTTGTTTTGCTGCGATTCATGTTTAAGTTTCTTTTGGAATTCACGCTGTCTTTTTAATTTTGATCTTGCTAATATATCTTCTCGTCTTTTATGGAGTACTTGAAATTTCTGAAATTGAAAACAAAATACTGACCCAACAGGCACAAAACTGAGTTGATGGGTCAAAGAAATCATTTCTTGCGGGGAATAAAATTTTGGGCTCCTTAAACCAAAATTGAGCCCAAATTTTGAAAATTAAAAGCCCATTTTTTAATAATCTGGCCAAAAATTCAAAATAAAGCCTACTGATTGGGGCGCGGCCCTACACATTTTTGACCACCCCCTAGATCCATCAGTGATACATAAAAGACTTTAAATGGTCATGATCTTTTTTGTTTTTGTCAGCATATGTATTGGGAGTTTTGCACATGTACATGTAGTTTGATGGGACGTGAGTGATTTTCAAGATTGTTATTGTATAACAAATCAGACCTCAACAACATACTGCAAGCATTTGACATCCATGTTGAGCTGAAAATACCACAGAGTTCGCTACATACAGTGTATTACCCTGATACCACTGACGTGAGGTCTGGTCTATAGTCAACCCATGTAGTCCAGTGTCTTAATAAATAAAATGAATACACAAGATATCTAGAAAAGTAGTTGCAAAAGGGCACAAGCCCCAAGTGCTTTGTTGGTAGTAAGAGTGTTGAGGCGTTCTGCAAAAATGTGTACTGTACACTCTCTTTACTACCCAGCATAGGCCAAGGGAAGAGTAATAGTAAGCTGTGTATCTCTTCTATATCATGTACGGTTTACTCTTTACCCTTGGCCTATGCTACCCAGGGAGCACCTGTGCAAAATAGCAGTCAATAATGTGCACCTTCCACATTGAATCTGACACTCCCTTTGGCTTCTCCCCATTGGCATCTCCAATAAAATTTCTAGCAGAAGTCACACTCCCTAAACCCCTTGACTTATTGGTATTCTGATTCTGTCCAGTGGTTCCATGCTCAGATTTCAATTTGTCCAAATTTCCCAAATGTTTCAGTTCCTTGTTTGAGTCCAATGTGAGCTTATTTTCTTCAAAAGTAGTGCCTTCTAAGCCTTCGTGTAACGGGGGAACTCTGGTTTCCATTTCATTGATTAATGAATTGATTCACTGTGGGAATTTTGGCTTCAAAAGAAAGAAGATTTCAGTCTTGTTTTGTTTTCTAAATCTGAGGTCAAGGACAGCATTTAGGTCAAATTGAAATAGTGCAGTACGCGGATTAACTTACTTAAATATAATCCTTAGAAAGAATCATAATCGTAAGATTTTAATAGGATTAAAAGTTCATGTATATATTAGATATAGAATTGAATAATGTTTTATAATTAAGTATCCTATAATAATTACAAAATAAGAGATATAAAAAGTTTTCAAAAGTTTGTTTAGCGGATATAGAATAACTGCGCTTCGGCTACATGCTGAAAGGACAAAACAACAAAACGTTCACAAAAGCCTGATTTATCGATTCTGCAAGCTATTTTCATGCGAAATTAACTAAGTAAGTAATTGCATTTATATATGCTATCATAATCATAACTTACTTTTACTTGATCTATTGTCTATATGACTGAAATCATACTCTGAAAACAATTTGTCATTTTCTTTGAATCTTGTCACACTGAAATGAAATGAAATCTTTGAAAAACCAAGATTCATTTATTCAGCTCACTCATTGAGTCCAAGGACCATTGAAAGCTTGTGCAGGTCCTACAAATACCAATACCAGCTTGTTGTTGTAATTATGTTTTTATGGTCTGTGGCTTCTCGTTCTTGTGCATTGTGAACCGAGACCCTATCTGTTGCAAGACTTACGCCTGGCGTAACCGTCGCCATGTTATTCGGTGTTTTTTAAGTAGCGCAAGGATCCTGCCATGACCGTGGTAATGTTATCGTGAAAGCCTGGTATAACCGCGACAATGCTGTATTATATTAAAATGCCTGCCATGACCGTGGTAGTGTAATCGTGTAAGCCTGGCGCGACCGTAACCTTTACATGTATATGACATTAATGACCTTCATGTTTCGCCCGTTGCTGTTGGTATTTTTTATGGATAAATCTTATTAATTGATCATTATAGAAAGTATATGCTTTCGAATCAAAGCTCCTTGAATGAGAGTAGAGATATAGTCTGTTCGCAAATTATTTATGAGTAAAAATTATGTTTTCGTTGTGAAATTAATACACATTTTTAGTAAGGCTAGTCTTTATTTACATATTTAAGGTAGTTAAACACGAAGAAAAATTGTCATTACGGTGTTCTCATGCTACTTCAAATACAACCACGGTCATGAGAGGCCTTGCAACTATTGTCACGGTCATATCAGGCTTTAACCTTACCACGGTCATGACAGGCTTTAACATTCTGACGGTCATGACAGGCCTTTCAATCATTATGACGGTCATATAATATATACGGCAATATAACATAACATTGTCACGGTCATGGCAGGCTTTACAAGCATTGTCACGGTCATATCAGGCCTAACATTACCACGGTCATGACAGGCCTTGCAACCATTGTCACGGTCATACTGGGCTTTAACATTACCACGGTCATGACAGGCCTTGCAACCATTGTCACGGTCATACGGGGCTTTAACATTACCACGGTCATGACAGGCCTTGCAATATAATATAGCATTGTCACGGTCATGACAGGCCTTGCAAGCATTGTCACGGTCATATCAGGCTTTAACATTACCACGGTCATGACAGGCCTTGCAATATAATACAGCATTGTCACGGTCATATCAGGCTTCAGCATTATCATAGTCTTGACAGGCATTACAACCATATTCATGACAGGCCTTGCAATATAATATAGCATTGTCACGGCCATGGCAGGACTTGCAAGCATTGTCACGGTCATATCAGGCTTTAACATTACCACTGTCACCACAGGACTTGCAAGCATTATCACGGTCATATCAGGCTTTTACATTATTACTCAGCGAATAAATAATAAAAAGTCCTGAGTTTCTACGTGCTAATTATGTTGAAAGGCGATTTCACACATTATCATTAGTTATGCAACATATTTGTGCACTAGTCAATTCTAAACAATGCAAGACCGAATGATTTTCATGTTTTAATACGGCATATGTACAGTACGTTCAATAAGTACTGATAAAAATTGATTTAACTTATTTGATTAAAAAAATACAGGGTTACACCAAAAATGACACCCATTGTGCATAATTTATTATTTCTCTATTGACATATACAATTTTCCTTTTGCTCATTAAAATTTTCTATGAGCGCACATGTTCCCAATGCATGACGTCCATTAATTTGCATGCAAACTTGGATTCTACGAGCAAAGTTGTTGATTACCCTTTTACATTCCTCTTGAAATATGAGCTAGATCTTCCTTTTCAGCTTTGGTTTTGGTATTTGTATCCTACACATGGTTGTTTAAGTACCCCTAAATGCAAAAATCTGTGGGGAGGAGGGTTCATTATCACATCATGGTGTCCCCACTCAATCTCTTAACTTCGGTAAATGAGATGGTCTCCAAAGTTATTATAAAATACAGGTTGACCCTAAAAACAGAATCCTCTAAAATGTGTAATCATTTCTTAAATACTTATCCTTTCCATACAATTTCTTAATAAACTAGAATCTATGTATGATAATTTGATTGAATGTGTCCAATTTACGGAAAATCAACATTGAGAAAAAATCAGTTCTTGAGATTTTGGGATAAATCCAGAACGAAATTCCAAAGAATGAGAGAAGAAATGAATGTCTCATATCAATATTTAAAATAAATGAAGGATAGGCAATGGTTAAACACGTATTAAAATATCAGATGAATGAAATGTGTGGCCTATGAGCAAGAACACCTCAAAGGCTCACCCATTGGCTGAATTCTTAAGAAATCATGAAATGATTACTCAAGATCATTGCATGACAGGTGATTTCAAAGTCAAATGGTAAATAATGAATCAGAAGAGGAAAAAAAGGTGTCGCGCGGCAGGCGTATATATCATTTTGTAAATGTCAGGCGAAATCCCTATCCTCAACGCGTCAATAGGCCATTGCCATTGGTAAGGAAAAATACCTACAGATGGCTAGAGGAGTTAGGAGACAACAAAGTTGTGTCAAGATTTCGTTTAACTAGAAACCAAATTGTTATGTTTGATTGGTGATCAACTCCAGCGTCATACCAAGAGGAACAACAGCTTGTCGCCAGTATATCAGGTGAGAACCCTTCTGGTCTGAAACGTTTTGAACACTTGCCGCGTTTTCTCAAGGGGTACACCCCAGTTGTCCGAAACCCAATTCTCCAAAACCCAGTTGTCTGAAACCCAATTCTTCGAAAAGCCAGTTTCATGCCATGTATTTGCCCAAATTAATGGGATGGACGCATTCTGATGTTTATAGATCTCTCTCTCACTTTGAATTGCATCCATTGCATGGCACCAGAATGGCAGGAACGGGGGATTTATTTTACATTGTGATTCTAATTAGGTTATTAAAACACAATATATATTACGGAACAGTTTATCTTATCTTCTTCAATCTCTTTTATATAGGCAAAATAAAATGAAACATTTTGAAACAGATAAAATAAGTTAACGCATAGAACTTTAAGAATAAAACAGTGTCAAAATATTTCGTCGCATTTAATTTCTCAATCTCTGTCTCTTATCAAATCGTAAAAGAACAAACCTCCAAGGATTCATTTTTCGGCATTTGTTTCCGGCATTAGTTTTTTATGTTCTTCTCTTGAAATGTAGGCCTATTTGTTTGACAATAATCCGAGAAAGTGCGCATACGTATAAATTTGCGTGGCATATTTTGTCACGCAAACAAACGGGTGTGACTTCAATTTCTTGTCTGTCTGAGGACGTATTGAGAACGAGGTAGAATTAAAGAATTCTTATGAACGAGTCATGCAAGATACTAGAACTAGTAAAGTAATGTATTGGATAAGTTAATTTCTGATGGATCTGGATATAATATGTTTCAAAACTTTGTGAACACTAGATAACTACATTTAGGCAGATATAGTATCTTGCTATATTTGGCTATCATGCGTTTAAAATACGTTCCTAAAACTATGAAGACGTTAGGTGAGAAATATTGCTATTGTACGTTCGAAAAGTATTTGGTTGTATTTTGTAGTTCTCAAGTTACCCATGAACTTTCGTAGGCTAAACATTAAATAATTAACGTCTTGACTTAGCATATTTAGCCTAATTTTGCAATGATGTCAACGTGACTCCAATGTTATGTTGTCGTGGTTCGCAGAGGTTGCGACAAGAGTCGTTTTAAGAAATTGTATTTTTTAGATAAGATTCCCTAATTTTCGGAGAACTGGGTTTCGAAAAACTGGGTTTCGGAGAATTGGGTTTCGGACAACTGGGTTGACCCCTTTGTGAAGACTAAGAGTGATATATTTTCTTATTTGACATGACCAGATTCATTACAATGACAATTTTTGGTAAGCTATCTGGAACCTCTTAACTGTTAACATTTTAGTTGTGTATTGCCCTCCGGTATTATGCCCAGGGAGACCACTTCACAACCATCGGCGATGCCATGGGAGCCAAAGCTCGCAGCACGGTGTGCATGGACCCCAAGGATGACACGGGGTGGAAGAGGGGCAAGGGTTGGCCGTGCAAGTCCCGGGGTGCAAGTCTGCACTCCAGATAGGAGTGAAACACATCATGGGATTAAATGCATTCGTTGAAGTTTACAGAAACAGTTGAATATAATTCAGGATTTAAGTGAATCCACATGATCATTTGCGTTCAACAATGTCTTTATAGAGAGGTTTCGCAAGTTTTTAGCTCAACGTGTTGTGTTCACCAGATTTATTACCCTTTGCATTCGTTCGACTTCACTTCTTAATTATAAAAGAGAGCTTCATCTTCTGTATCGAAATTCTCGTGATCCCTTATTGAAGTTTTACTAAATAATTGAGTTTGATCATTTAATGCTGTTGGATAGAATATTAAGCTGAAATGAATCAAAATACTAGCCCATGTCTGAGCGAATGGTATAAAGTTTTGATTACAATGAGAATTCTAAAAAAATTCCTGTCATTTTCTTTACGTTTATAATCACGTATCATGCTTATGAACTAGATCAATACAGACTCGATTTCCTTTGCCCACCATCAACATTGTTATGTAATGACGGGAAACGGTCACTGTAAT